TGAGTAATATAGAGGTTTTAGAGTTGAGTGCCGTGTAAGCAGAGAAATTTAATCGACGAGGTTGGTAGGTTATATAGATTCAGATGGCAAGGCCATGTATTACAGATGCTCAGCCTTCCTCGATTGGTAGTGTTAGCTGACATAGGATGGTTAAGGTTGGAAAAGAGTTAGAGTTGGTCAAACTAGAACCTGTTATCAGTCCATGAAATCTTTAACAGTTGATTTGAGTCAGCTATGTAGGAGGGTGGTGTAGGCTACCTGGTTAGGGTGCTCAGGGTACTAAAAACCAATGGCTGAAGGCAGTTGGTGATATGTCTCAAAATCGTTCTTAGTGGTGGAGATACATTCACTTTATATCCACTGAACAATGTTGTTTATCCATGTTACTATTATTTATTCCTCACATTTCTACTTATTATCGTTATTTCGAATCCCTTTTTCCCTCTCTGTTGTCTTCTTTTGTGACTTAAATGGAGTGTAGCAACTCCAACTGCTGCACTTCTGTGCAAAGTTCCATGTTGAAATCAGTCAGTCGGTTAGGAATATCTCACTTTTATAAATTTAAACATTGTTCTGTATACTACTTTTTGGGATTAATTATATGTATCGAATAGTTTTTCTCTCTGATTAACTTCTATAAATATCACTTTTCGTTATGTTTTAACTGTGTCGGTATAAGCTATAATCAAGCCTGCGAGTAGTTAGACATGACATTTTCTTACCTACAGAAAGAAATATTCAGACGTGAAAAAAAGGACTCGAATTTGGCGTCAAACTATATAACTTATAATTAAATAAATAAGCACAATAGCTAAGCATTCCAAGCATACAGAATAAAATTGGATGAATTTTTAGCGGACCCATTAATTTGGAAGGAGGAGGAAAGATGCTCCCTGATGACATTGGCTGGCGGTGGCGCTATATGTGGGGATTTGGCAGAATTCATGGGCCATTGGATTCCGTCCCAGTGGCTGAATGGTATATGAGTTTACCTTGTGATCCTCATTTCTATCTTTGGTGAGGTTTATGGGTGCGTAATGCTAGAGATTGAGTCGCTAAAAGCCTAATATCTGAGAAATAAAATTAGCCTCTGTGTCTGTTAACTTTTTATTTTTTTATTATTTTATTTTGGTTACAGCTTGATGCCACACCGTATTTTCAGTACAAGTATGGCATTTTCAGCATGGATATCGGTAGCCCAAATTTCACAGGCCGACCATAGATATCGGGTGTGCGCCGGCAGGGGCTCGAACCTCGGACCATGTGCATGGTCGGCGAGAGTCCTAACCACTGTGCCACCGACGCACTTGACTTTCTTTTCCAAGATTTATGATACATAAACACTATTACTATAAAGTTTGCTTTCACTCATGTGTATAAATGAAGCAAACAGTTGTGTGAGTGACTTGATATGATTATGAGCAATAATTAGTGCTCGAAACGTCATCAGTTAATATTACTGTAGAATACTGTGTGATTAATCAAAATAAAATCTTATCTATAATGGAGTTATACTCTACCACAGTGCCCAAGTTTTATACTTATATCAACGTCTGCTTTAATTTGAGTTATTATTAAAAGTATGATTTCTTTGACTGGACACTAGTAACAAGTGTGACGTGTTTAGTTCTTTCTTTGGTGCAGACTGAATTCTATCAGTCAGGTTTGCAATGTGGCCATCATACTAGGTAGCTCGCCATCACGATGATATTAGATAGTTGGAGGCAATCAGCAGTAAGTCTTGGACCTAGGTTTCGTGCGATTGAATTGATAGATAGAATTGATAGAATTCAGTCTGCACCGAAGAAAGGGCTAGACACGTCACACTATTTTCTAGTTTCCAATCAAACTATCCACTACAGTCCTGCAGGAGGTCAAGCGCGAGCCCGAACAGCTCAGTGGTAAGGTCTCTGACTGCAGCACTGGGTGACGCGGGTTCAAATCTCAGAAGGGACATGAGTTCCTTCAAGATTGTAGATACGCCTTGCTGAGTGGTGAGTGCCAACTAGCACGAAACCTAGGTCCACGGCTTCCTGTAGATTGCCTCCAACTATCTAATATCATCAAAACTATGATTTCTTATTATACTTTTTTGTTATGATTTACCCGTTATATCAAGGGGTAACGTTACTGAGGTTTGGTTCAATAATGAGATCAGATTTTGATAAGAGCTGATATTACCAGCAGCAATAATAATCCTGTGAATAGGGTTCGATACAGCAAGGAAGTAAGTAACTCGTCTGATGACACAATACTAATATTAATTTATAATTACATCTGAAACCCCAGAGCCCACACAAATAAAGACATATGATAGATTTGTTGGAGCTAGTGAAAACAATTGACTTTTATTATAATACAAAAATACATTTATGTTCAAATGTTACGTACGTCGAAATGTTAAATCGGAAAGCAACTAATTTAATTGGTTGCATAAGTTTGGGCTCTCAGGTAGTCCAGTTGCATTTATAATAAATACCCTGTGTATCTACCGGATGGTCTAAATTTGCTCAGACTGTAAATGCCCTTCCCCCTCGACCTAGTGTCCTCATTGTCCCCTCCCATTTCTCCTTTACCTAATTCAACTCTAGCTCAATTGTGCTCAACTATTCATCACCAATTTGGGTTGTTGTGTATCTGTTGCCTTATTTATTATATTACATGTATGAATATTGAATGAATGTTTTGAACTAAATATTTATACTTTTCAAATTTTTATCTATTGTATTCCTTTATACCTCTATTTCAAATCCTCCACGTCGAGGCGCTTCCCTCTCATTTCTCAAAGAATGTTACTGCTAAGATCGCATAATGAATGTTCAGTTTCACTTCTCCACCTTCTTGGTGTGATGAGTAATATGCACAGCAGTAGTAGGAAAATGGGTGGTGCGCGAAATCGGTGGCCTGCTTAAAATTTGGGAAACTGAAAACCGACATCAATTTAATGCATTTGATTTCTCTAATTCAATTTGTTTAAATCTAGTAAAATATGATCTCTAATAGTACCATTTACTCTGGGGGGTATTTAAAACGTTTAAAACCTGCTGATTCGCAAGTTTCTACTAAACTTGAGATAAAGCATTATCCTGGACGACAGCTTATAGGACTACGTGAGATAACTGTTCCAGGGTTGTGTCCTTGATTCACAAAATGTACTCCTGAACTTTTTTAGAATTGGCTTTCAAAAAAATGTGTGTTTATTGAGGGAGTGAAAGAATAAATATCATAATAGACTAATTTGAGCTTCAGGTCAAATAGAACTGTGCCACACGATCTATTGTCAATTAATATTCGATTTGAAGATCCTGGACAAAGACAAAATATTATAGAATAAACTCGACTGAGATTTCTGTACATTATATAAAAACTGTTCAGAATAAAGCTATAATTATTATCTGGTTTTGGTCTGTTTTAACTGGCTTTTTTGATTAATTTTCTATAGTTTGGTTTTTTGCGAGTTGATCACGGATTGATATTAGCTAGAGAACCATTGAAAACTAGCACTGGAGTACTGGACAGCTGTTTCATCCTAGTTTGGGAATCATCGGCAGTACGCACTCACCACAGGGGTTCGAACCCAGGACCTTCCAGTTACAAGGCAAGCTCGAATACCATTCAGCCACTGGGACCCGATTCTAACTTCTTTCGGTTTGATTTGGTTTGTGCTGTTTGACTTCTTAATACAAGTTGACTTGAAAGAGTCGTCTGCATAAAAATAGGATGTATCGTGTAACTGTTTCATGACTGTATGATACACTTTAAACTTTTTAATTTTTGAGAGTATTTAACAGCCAGACTATGTGTTATATTAATTTCGGAAAACTTTTTCAAGTATCGCAAAAAATCTACCAAAAATATTCTCATAGGTCTCTCAATGAAATTAAGAAATAATATTATTCTGCCTCACAATTTACACTATTGTCTAATAATAACATCTCTAAGGATTAAATCAGTGGCCATCAAAGTAGCCAGAGAAAATAAGGATATCAATTCTCATTAGTTTATCACTCGGTTTCTACTTTTAGGGGATTGATACATCTGGACACTGTTAATCTATAATGTCTAGCAGTTATGTATTCTCGCTTGATAACTGCAGAGCATCTATTAATTTTAATTTACAGTGAAAATCCCTAGAGCAATTCTGACTACGTGCTTCTTAATGCATTCAATTATGTGGAGGGGGAAAATACTTAATCATAAAAGTCAGAACAAAATAGGTGTCTGTATACTTTGTATCTCAGTGAAGAGCAATGACGTAAACAGATGCACTCCAACTGTGAAATTCCATAATGATTTTTGTCTTAAGGCACACTAAACACCCCGTTTTTTTTTTTAAAGTCACAAGATCAACTCTATTAACACTAACATTCAGGACTTCATACATGCCAGTAGAAAATATGTGTGCACTGTGTACAGTTGGGTGATTGACATGATTAATTTCCAAACACCCTATAACACCAACATAATCATCATCATTATTTAACAGTTGGGTTTACTATTTTTTTGTTTTCAACTGTCTATCTTTGCTTATCAACTCCCTACTGATTTTATACATTCATTTATCAGAAATGATTATTTCGCTAATTTGAAAAATAGCTGGTATCTTTCTTTTTTTTTTTAAAATTTTTCTCTAGGGATTTTGAAATTAATGAATGAGCTTTTCTCCCTATGGACTTTCTTTGGTTCTTTTTTGTTTTAATGAATCGATTAAATTTTGATTTCTTCCATTTATTTTTGGCGAACTTTTAAATTTCTCCCTAGAATAATTGAAACAAGTGAATAAATAAATAGCTATTGAGGATGTTTTTTATATTACTCAGGTTTTTGTTGTTGTGGTGGTTATACCATTTGTAATCTTATTAAAAAGGCTGTTTTTCATTTTATGTATTTATGCCCAATAATTTATCAAATATTTTTTTCCATTTTTCTTTCGTTTTTTCCCAACTTAATACCCCTATTTTACATAGAATTTATTGTTGGAATTTATTTTTATATTTCAGGAAATAAAACGAACCACAGTTTTGATCTTAATTGTGAGAATGAAAAAAATTGGTGAGTATTTTTGAATCACTGATTTATAATATTTTGTGAAGTTGATTGTCTTTCGATTTGATTTGGTTTGTGCTGTTTGACTTCTTTTTTTTCTCTTCACGTTCCCCAATGGAACATAGGGCTTCAAGCTGGTGGCTTGAAGTTTCTGTAGCAGTGTTTATTTTACAGGATGGGTTGCTAGCATCATGCCCAACCTTTCCTCTTCACCATCATTATTTCTGGCTTAGCGAGGTAAAGGAGTGCGTCAGCCGGGGATCGAACTCTGGACCATGTGCATGGTCGGCGAGCGTACTAACCGCTATGCCACCGACTCGTTTAACTTCTTAATACAAGTTAACTTGAAGAATGGTCAACATAGAAATAGGGTATATTGTATAACTGTTTTATGACTGTGTAATATGCCATCAGCTTTTTAAGTCTTGAAAAACAAACATTACTTTTCACCCCCCACCCAACCCACCCCTACCAAGGAGTTTTAACCTAGTGATTTACATTTTCTTATTTCAGTCAGTTCATGACATGGTTTTGCTGAACATCTCGTCTTAGTTCTAATTAACTGAAATCTTTAAGTGTGGTAACATTAGGAGTATATTTCTATATCTTTCTAGGTTCATTGTACTCATTTCATGATTTCATGAGTCATGTTCCCCTTACAGTCAGCTTTATGTATAAATGAAACGATCACAGGCAGTTCCAACTTCTTTGAGATTTATTGGTTGGTACTGTTCAGCCTGATTTAATTCCCTAACTTAGAATTACTGTATGTTGTATATCATTGGTGGATCGAGCTTAGTAGACTGCATACATTCGATATCTTTCAGATTGAACGGTTGACTATCAACTGGACTGATAACTTTGTTATCAATATTCGAGCCTGTTAGTTGAAATTAATAGTAATAATAACAACAATAATAGTGCTTTTATTCTAAAAAGTACTTTTGATACCTAGTGTAATTCTCAGCGTGTAGTTTTTTTCTTTCTATTCCTTTACATTCTGAGTGGAACACAGGACTTCAAGCTAGAGCTTTGCAATTCCGCTAGCGGTGTTTTTCTTATTCTAACGGGTTGGGGTTGCTAGTCTCACACCCAACCTTCCCTCTTTAACAGCCTTACTGCTGGCTTAGTGAGGTTTAGGAGTGCGTCGGTCGGGGATCGAACCTCGGACCATATGCGTGGTTGGCGAATGTTATACTTCTGAGCCATCAACGCACATGGCCAGTAAACTAGGTGAGGCTTATGAGTGTATTGTCTTGGAATCTCATGTAGACTTACTGTGTGACTCGCGAGCATTCCACTATTGGAACCACTACTGCATATATATATATATATATATTCAGATGAAGTAAGACCACCTACAACGAGCCCAACAATACCAACAACAGTGACAGAGCTACCAGTGAACACCAAACCCCCGACGAAATCAGAAGTCCTGAAGGCAATCAAGATGCTGAAAGCTGGAAAGGCAGCAGGACCAGATGGAATCACAACAGAAGCATTGAAAATTGATCCAGAGACAACAGCAGACTTGATGACGCCACTACTGGAGAAGGTGTGGAAAGAAGGCAAAGTACCCGAGGATTGGAAGAAGGATACTTTTTCAAACTACCAAAGAAAGGAGACCTAAGTCAATGCAAGAACTGGCGCGGAATTATGCTCCTGTCCATCCCAAGCAAAATACTAAGCCGCATCATCCTGGAGAGAATCAAACATGCCCTGGATGAAGAACTTCGACCGGAACAGGCTGGATTCAGGAGAAACAAGTCATGTATTGATCAAATCGCCACACTACGGATCATTATTGAACAGAGCGTCGAATGGCAGTCACCTCTCTATCTCAACTTCGTCGACTTTGAAAAGGCCTTCGATAGAGCAGCGTCGATCGAGAGGTGCTTTGCCAACTACTTTGCTACTATGGGGTTCCACCGACAATTATACATCTCATCCAACAGTTGTACGACAATGCTGCATGTCAAGTAATCCACAACGGGAAACTCACGGAATCCTTCGAAGTGAGAACAGGAGTAAGACAAGGCTGCCTACTATCGCCAATGGTTTTCCTGATTGCAGTAGATTGGATAATGCGACAAATATCGGGCAATGAGGAAACAGGCATAAAATGAACTCACACGAAAGTTGGAGGATCTGGACTTCACCGATGATATATTTCTGATTTCCCACAAACTGGAAGATATGCAAGCGAAAAGCAACAAGTTGGCAGGAGAAGCATCAAAGATAGGACTTCAGGTAAACATAGATAAAACAGAGGTGATGAAGATTCCTGGACAAGAACAACAACAACAGACAACAATCAGCATAAATGGGAGAAACCTGAAAGAAACAACCTCTTTTACCTACCCAACTGGGAAGCATCGTTTCAACTACAGGCGGAACTGACGAGAATATCAAAGCAAGAATCGGGAAAGCAAGACAAGCTTTCACTACTCTCAAGTCTGTGTGGAGGTCAACAACACTCAGCATCAAAAATAAGATCCGGATTTTCAACTCCAATGTGAAGTCAGTCAGTGCTACTATACGGATCAGAGACTTGACGCGTCATGAAGGTCACCTCAAACAAACTACAGACCTTCATTAATAGTTGTCTTCGCTCAATACTCCAGATCAGATGGCCGGCCAGAAAAGATCAGCAACAGGGATCTCTGAGAGCCAACCAACCCAACAGGAGCCGATTGTGCAACAAATAAGCAGGAAGAAATGTAGGTGGATTGGCCAGCCATACTCTGAGAAAACAAACCATCAAGTGACATCACTAAACAAGCCCTCGAGTGGAATACGAAAAAGAAGCGGCGAGTTGATCGTCAGTGCGAGAGTGACTTGGAGGAGGTTATGTGAAGAGGAGATGAAAGCGTGTGGGCAGACCCGGAGCCAGGTGAAAACCTTAGCAGTGAACCGAACGCAATGGTGACACACGGCTGAAGCCCTATGTTCCTCTAGGAATTAAAGGATACAATAATAATAATAAGAAGAATAACACTCTTATATGTGCAATCAACGTCAAGCTTGATTCGATATATTTTACAAAAATGTAAAGCAACGGCGATGGTGTACAGCATACCGTCACAAATAAACGTTTGTCGATTGCAACTCATGTACAAATAAATAATATATGTAGCACTATATCATCACTCACTGTTGGAAGCCTTAGATATATGATTCGTGCCTGTTGGCACTCACTAGTAAGCAAGGCATATAATCAGTCTTAAAGGGACTCATGTCCTCTCTGAGATTAAAATCCATATCAAGCAGTAGTGCAACCAGAGGTATTACCACTGAGGTATTAAGGCTCTAATTTTCTCCTTACACTATATAATAAGGAGGGAATTGCTGCAGAACTTTATGATATTTGCTGTAGTAATAAATGCCCTAATGTGTAAATATAAAAATAAATAGTGATAACAATATATCGATGATAGGAAGAACGGAGTAAACTCCTTACTTACTGTTAGTAATTTCATACCGAACACTTTTTCATCATATGAAATATCCACCGAATAAGGTGTCATCGAGATTTTATTTATTTAATTTTGCTTTTATAATGGCTTCTATTCTTGCCTGACGAGATGCAATGAGCGGGCTGTGAATGAAGAGGATGTTGACAATCTCAAGATGACAAGATGACTTTTGCTAGTTTTGCACATCAGTTCAAATGTCTGTCAACAGTAATATCAATGGGTTGGCTTAAAAGCATATCACCTACCTCCCACCAACAGTTTTGAGTGTGTCCTTTCCAAATCTACTTTAAGTAGCCCGGGAAAGATTAAGATTAAGTAAACTGAAAATTTTGTCGAACTGTACAAGTAGAAGATGAGTAGTGCCAGATTGTCTTAACTTCTTCATGTAGAAGGTTAGAAAAAATATTTTTCCAGGAATCAATAAGATATGGCCACAGTAGGCAAAGTAGTGGAAGACTTTCGTTTATATACAGCATAATATTTTCTATCAGAAAGATAAGAATGAAGTCATTTACAAATGCAAGACCCAGTTTGTATCAATGCACGCATATTTAACAAAAGAAGCCTAAGTAGAGATTGGATGTATCATCCAGGAAGACACAGCAGACATAATTAACATCTTTTTCCAAACTGAAAACAATATTAGATGGTATTTTTGATGAAAATGTAATCCATGTTATAACTGACTAATTATAGTTACAATATAGCTGAGCAAGGCAAACTGTTTTTATGTGGTTGTGTTCTCTGAGCTGGATGGTTAATTTGCGAAGCTTTCATCGCCTTACTAGGCAATATCTTCAGCGCATACTTCAATTTGAATTGAGCTTTTAGATTTCTCCACAAGTTTATTAGTCGTCTCTTGTGGTGACATTGAACGCGTTTGGTTGTTTTGTGTGTTTTCACACCCTCTAGGCTACTTGTATTGGAACTGATTGTTTCCTTGAACTGGACTTTGAGCTTTTGTGTGTGAGATTTCCTTCTTATCGGTTGGGAAATTTTGTCTTGGTGTTTTCCCTGTCTAATATTTCAGTGTTGTCCCAGTCCAATTGATGTCCGTGGTTGTCTTCATGCAGTGATATGAGGGAGTGGATTTCATGTCTTTTGACGGTTAACTTATGATCATGGATAGGAAGACGAAGGGGACGTCCACTTTGGCCAGTGTAGTGTTTTTCACAGTTGTTACAATTTATTTTGTAGATGATGTTGGTTGTATCTTCTTTTATTGTTGAGTCTTTTGGTTGACATAGAACTGAGTGAAGTGATTTTGTTGATTTGTGTGTGGCGTCAATTCCTAAAGGTTTAAAGAGTCTTGTAGTGATTTCTGAGATGTCCTTTATATATGGTAGGACAATTTTCTTTGTGCTTTCCTTGGGAGCCTTTGGTTTGATAGGTTGGCTTGGGGATATATGTCTTTTGATGAAATTCACTTCAAATTGAAGTATGCTCTGAAGATGTTGCCTAGTACGGCAATGAAAGCTTCGCAAATTAACCTTCCAACTCAGAGAACACAACCACATCAAAATCGTCCACCTGAGCTACAAATCTTCTCCATCATATCTAAGGCCAACTGTTATCTGAGTAGTATTTTATCTTCATGCATTTACCTTCTTTCTCATTCCAGTTCTTTGAATACTTTCGAAACGGCGGGTCAATGTAACAACCCTCAGATTCATACATCTCTATCACTACAGAACAACTCGGAGCATTTTATCAGCAATGAAGACAATCTCAGTGAGTATTAGTTTCTTGTCGAATAATATAAAAGTTAATGTTTCATTTCAAGCAACTTTTTTGCCTAATTGAGAGGTATTCCATTACTGAGAAAAAGGAACTAAATTTACATTAATTTGGTACCAAATAGAATTTGATTTTAGCCACAAATCTTTCCCATTCACTTGTGAAACTGTCTGATTCCATTCTGTGCAGAGTAACAATCAAACTCAGTTATTTAAAAAAAATCAGCTACTGGACCAGCTAGGAAATTCATACATAGATAGTAAATAGCTGTGTCTAAGTTCAATGTATGGTCGAAATAAACAACAGACTCCTTTTTGAAGGGCACCATTCCATTATTTCTTCTGAGCTTCATTTTTTAAGTCATACTTCCCTCGAAGCTCAAAGACTTAAAGGTTTTGTGAGAACTACTGGCGATTTCACTAACAAAACAATTGTGAGTCGTCGTTTGTCATCACTAATTAGCCAAAGGAACGACAGTTCCTGGTTATTTTCTAAGCTCAGATGTTCGCCTGCTGGGTGAAATTGCTCTCCGTAGTTAGTTTGATGGGGATGCCAGAATTTCACGTCTAAAATCTCTAAAGAAATGGCGCTTTCAATCCTTAACCATCAATACGGATTCAAAATTCGTCAAAATAAGATAGATGTACTATTTCATTATTTCATGCAAAACGTCTCAGGCATATAAGCCTGCTTTGAACATTCATATTTGTTCAAACTAAAGATTGTGTATGCTCCCAGTGCGTAATTAGAAGCAGCCCGAAAAAATAATAATTTTGCGACATCATCAACCTGCTAATAACCGTTTATCAAAGATACAACTGAATGGCTGCACAATCACTGCACCAATCTAAACATAGGTAGCGATTATTACCAAAACCATGAAGCGTAAACTTATCCATAATCAATAAATAATGTAGTAGAAGTAACTGAAACTGTCCCCAGTGGTTGGGTATTCTGAAAAAACCCATCTGTTTTCTTTCAGATTAGGACATGGTGACATGTGTTAGCTCTAAAATTGCTGCAGCTGTTCGTGTAGCCTTTATTTTTCGCTGTTTTAATTATCCGTTATTAGTTTCACTGTCTCAAAATATGTAGTTAAACAAGCATACCTTAATCTCTGAGACAATCATTCGACTGTCGACAGGATGAAACAGTTTATTTATTGGCCCTCAAGATAGCTAAATACTCATCCTGGTCTTTTGCGAAGCCTAAGACCCTATTCAATCTCATCTTGTCTGTATTGCACCTACAAAAGTGTGCTTCATTCTCACCATGTGTATATGTATAGCAGTTGTGCGTGCCACGGACTAACCAAATTTAACCTGTCTCGAAACCCATTGCAATGTCCCAATAGCATGAGATTTTTGAGAACAACGCTAGCACAGATTAAATTCAATGAAACCTACCAGCCTATCAAGTAATTTAGCATGTCAGTAGCTTTTAATAGGTCTACTGACCCTGTCTGTAGGCCACAGACATTCATATCAGTGAGCTGTGAGTATGATGCAGCACTCAGCTCTAAATATTTGTTTATATTCAGCTATAATAAAAGTAGATTGTGTAGGTAGTAGCACAAGTGACATGATCCGAATTCTTTACACTTATGTTAAATCAATGCTTCTGTATAACTGAAAGACTCGGCGCATCATGATAAAACTTTTCAACAGCTGCCTTCTCTGTATAATGGGGATCTGATGGCCTGTCACAACGGACAAGTAATGAGGATCTTTAGTAACATGCCAGTCAAAGCCTATCACTCAGCAAATATACAAAAGGAAACGGAAATGCAACTGATTGAAATTGACGGCAGAGAAGCGAGTGGAGTTGGGATATGCCGCCGAACCCTCCCCCTACGTTCTGCTTGGAACGTAAGAGAGGAATAATAACAATAACATATGAGTAGTGAGCATAACAGCCTAGATTCTAGCTTTTGGACTCAAATAGGCTTAAAATCCTTGATGACAAACCATTTTGTAATATCATAAACAATGTCTTCTTAAAAGTTGGTTTTCTAATCTTACGCTTTGACAAATAGAGATGTAAATGCATCATACTGAGGTCTTTGGCAAATGATTTGTAGATGCTCGCATCCGTTATTCTGTTCATTCACTATGTGATTTTAAATGGTTTATCGTACAGTATATCATTGCTCTTTATTGCTTGAATAATCCAGTGAACAGTGTCATTCATATACTTAGCTTTAAGTAGTGAGTAAAGCCGCCTACTATCACCAGTGATATTCCTGATTGTGGTGGACTAGGTGCTGCAATAAGCCATGGGGAGTAGGAAGACAGAAATACGTTAGATTGACAAGGAGAATCTAGAAGATTTGAACTTTATGGATGATTTAAGTCAAATGTCACACAAATTCTAAGATCTGCAGGTGAAAACCAACAAGTTGGCGGAGAAAACGCTGAAGACAGGATTCCAAATGGACGTAAAACAAGACAGAGGCGATGAAGACAACCAACCAATAACAAAAAGCACCAGTCACTATCAACGGAAGAAATTTGAACGAGGTTACTACCTTCACTTATCTAGACAGCATCGTTTCAATCGGCACGGACGAGGATTTTAAGGCAACCAGTATCTCAAAGGTAAAACACACATCCAGTAATGGAAATCGGCTGTACTCAAAATAAGGAACAAGATTCCGATTTTCAATCGTTAGTGTCACATTGATACTTTTAAGTGGGTCGTAGGATTGGCGCGTTCGTAACCAAAAGTATTCCCAACAGCTTGCTGTCATTCGCTCATTACTGAAAATCAAATGTCCAGAAAGGATAAGCATTGAGAAACTCTGGGAATCAACTAAGCAAGAATCTATTCCTCAACAAACATGATGAAGAAAATAGAGATGTATCAAACACATACTGAGGAGACCGATGAGTGACATTGCACGCTTGGCAAATCCTCGAGGTAAACCTGAATGCGAAACGACAAGTTGGGCGTTTGAAAGCGACAAATAATAGATCATGTACTGAAGAGATCAGAGCTTGTGGGCAGTTATGGAGCCGGATGAAGAGGACTTCAAAGGACAGGATGAAATGGAGTTGTGCTACTGAGGCCCTATTTTCCACTTTGAACCCAAAGAAATAATAATAATATTGTGCATAAACTGATTTTTTCTCCTAGAGTTGTCCAGATCATTTAATAACGAACGCTTCTATGAGTTATTTCCAGTTTGATTATATAACTTATTCTTATTTCATAGATCAATCTCAATCAACTTCATCTGAAAGTGATCGTGAAGATGTAACACCATTCAGACGCATTGAAAACTCTACTTCAGTGAATAATCATGAAAAATTAAATGGTTTACAAATGCATACTCAAGATACAAGTAAGTGTGTTGATAAAATACAACATTAAAACAATAATCGAATATATTGTTTTCTTTTCATCAAATGAAAGGAAGTCAGGATAGTGAAAAACATACTGACACATGTGTCTCATCGTCATTGTTCAATGTAGACATCAATCTGTGATTAAACTTGAAACAAATTAAATCTCTACATACTAATTCTTGAAAATTAATGTCATGCTCACTAGTGACTGGCTAAGGGATGAAGTTGCCTTAATTTCTAGTGAGAATTCGTGACCAGTGGGATCCACCGTGTCGGGTGTGACCGAAAAATACTCGCTGATGGCACTGGTTGGTGATGGCGCTAAAATCACGAATTGACAGTAGTTTGAATTTATGGATCATTAGATTCTTACCCAGGTGGCGGCTGAACGGTCAGCGAGCTTGCCTTGTAACAGGAAGGTCCTGGGTTCGAAACCCTGTGGATGCGTACTACTGATGAGTCCCAAACTAGTACAAAGCAGTTGTACAGTGATTCTCTAGCTGACACCAGTCCGTGCACAAACTTTGAACAGACTAAATCACTACAAATTAACTCTTGAAAATACATAAATAAGTGAATGCTTACTAGGTGCGGTTCGATCACATGAAATGATTACTGGACAACAATAAATGTTACGTTTCTTTCTTCAGGAGTTATAATAAATTATTTTCTGTGATAAATCGTTTTTTTTCAATATGGTGATTATAGAGCTTTGTGTTGAGTGATTCACTGATAAGATGGCTGTCAAGGAACTTAACCCTAAGTTCCTATTATTTGCGAAGACTCTCCGAATCGATAATTACTAGGGACGATTATCGACTTTAACTCTAAAACACCAGTACTTGCAATAACTTGTATTGTTCGGCAACTAAAATGGAAATTGATACAAAGTCTATAAACAAATGTTTTACAAGGAATGTATTGTACTTTTGTTCGTACTCTTTCGTCTTCTTTCAACTTCTACACGTTGAATCATTCGCACCTTCGAGTTGCCCGCCAATGGCGACCAAGGCCAACGAACCAACGTTCAGTGTTCACGCTCATTTACAATGGCTGAGTTAAATATTTACTTTTATCAGGAAGTGGTAGAGAGGCTATTGCTATTCTTAAAATCAAGAAAATGAATTAGATGGTAGACGATCATAGTTATTTGAAATGACAAGCCTGTCAACAGTCAAGTCCCTGCAAACCAATAGTTGAATATCAATCTGATGCTCACTAGCTACTGGCCCTGTTCAGGTAGTGACCAATGGGGATCCACCATGTCGGGTGCGAGGACAAATACTCCCTGATGACATCGGTTAGCGGTCCAATTGTATCGTAATTTGGCAGAAGTTGGAATTCAGGGACCATATGATTGGGTCCCAGTGACTTAATGGTCTACAAGCTCGCCTGACTTCGAATCCACGTTAGTGGATGCATACCGCCGAAGAGTCTTAAACTAGAACAAAACCATTGTCCAGTACTCCCTGTAGGTTTTCCAATGGTACTCTAACCGATTTCAGCTCATGATGAAATCTTAAAACAGACGTAATTGCTATACTAGCTAATCTTGTGTTAAAAACTTAGTGTATTGGTTTCCTCAACTGATTAATGTAGTAAAAAGTAGTTTCACTGAGCGTATATTTACAGTGATAGATTCCTAAAATGTATTCATAAACAATTTCAGACTTTTCCCCCGTATCAGTGTGTGGCTAGCCCCTTTTATACGTTTCGTCATTCTCAAATGAAATGATACTCAGAATTCACTGACATTTCATGCAGTTGGCAATGAGTTACACCCGTTATTTGAGGCTCAGTGATATTCCCTGGCTAAACCAAACCTTGATAGATCGACTAGGTTTCAGACCTGTGACCTGTTAGTTAGAAGTTGAACACTTAAACCGACGAGCCTCGAACCTGTACTTATTAAGGCTGTTTGTAATATATCATGATTTTTCAGTATCATTTAGTAGCAAAATTTACGATGTACTCTCAAAGGACAAAAGTGTTTTACTGCATTTGATATACTTTTATACGGCTTACAAACAACGATATGGAGATTTTAGGACTTACAATAATTTATTTGCAGTTTTTATCACGAGCTGACGTCCGTTAGGGGACTATTAGGTAAGCTGGATGGCTGTCTCATTCTACTTTAAGACTTTTCAGCAGAACGCACCCACCAGGGTTCGGACCAAAGATCTATCATTTTTACCCCGAGAGTTTGTGAACGATTCAGCCACTGTGACCTGTTCCAATGCCCTATGAATTCCAACTCCTACCAATTTTCGAGGTATATAGCCAACCACAGTCAACTAATTTCACCGACGAGTAACTGTTCTCGTAGCTGACTGGGTAGACCTGCTGGTCACTACTTCTCACAGTGGGTTCACGAACTGATGTCAGCTCGTGATCGAACCTGTCGCTAATTAAATCCCTGCAAACCAACACTTGAAAATTTATTTATGTATAGATGTACGGAAGACTGACTCTCAATATTTTTATCCTTTCAATACATGTCCGTTTAGATTACTTTCTTCAAACTGGCACTATCTACCACAAATAAAAAGCAGTGGGACTTACTGTCATTCATTTTTCTATCTGTGCTGCTAATCTGTTGAGTTAATATTTTCAATAGACTTTCAGTTCCATCAGTAATACCAACTGACTATACAAATTCAACAGCTGAAACTTCGTATTCTATGAGAAGTTCCATAACAAATCTTTGACTGCTGGAAAGCATCTTATAGTACAGGTGAAATTAAAGAGCAGTCTTGTAACAGTCGTTCAAGATCATCACATACTTTTTCTTTAACCTTAATTTCCAACTAGGAAATAGATATTTTGACTTTCTTTTAGCCAGAAAAGTCTGTGGAGAAACTGGCATATACTTAATGACACGGGCATTAGAGGGATGATTAACACCAACTAGTAGTGACCTCCTGTCAGATAAGTCTGTCATCTAGACTTGAGGTTGTGAGTCGGTGGTCCAGTAGCAGTATGCTCACCAACACGTACATGGACCGGGGCTGAAATCCCGGCAGACACGCTGGTACCAAGCCCCCGGTAAAGAGGGAAGGTTGGGCTTGAGGCTAGCTACCTCATTCCATGAAAATGATACCACTGCTACTGAAACTTCAAAGTTTTAGCTTGAAGCCCTGTGTTGCACTGGGGATGGAAAGGAATAAAATAAAATGGGGTTCAGGACAGAACTAATGTACCTTGACTAACACATATCTTGGAGCCGAGTCGCTTTACATCTCATCTGTGGTGAGCTTTTCCCTCACTTTGTTGGTGCCATTTTTGGTATCAAGCAAATCAAATGTTATAACTAAGATATTTTAACATTCCGAAAAGAGCCGTGATCAAAATTTGACTCGAGATGCGTACTATACAAATAACTGTCTTCAGAGAAAAAATTGTTACCATCTTCTGAAAATTCTGTAATTACACCGAACAGTTCTTGAAAGTTTTTCCCTGATCTGTTAAACGGTGGAAAATACCCCTCAGGAAATTGGAGAATAAAAAAGTTCAGCGAAGATATATTCGCGATGATGGCATCCCTAAAGCCACTTTTTATTCACATAACTACAATTACTATTTAATTGAACATAGTAACAAAGATAAATGATAGAAGACAGTGATTTTCAACTTGATACGAAACTTTACAAGGGTGATGAAAAATGAATGAAAAATCACAAGGGGCGTAGGAACAATATAGCAGGGAATTAGGAAAATAGTTGCATAATGTGTGCAACAGTTTTTAACGAAAGTAAGACTGAATGGGATGTGCATATCAACAAATCGAAAGAATAGTTTTTATTACTGAAAATGAAAAAGTATGAAGGGGATGAACAAAACAACCGAAATGAAAACTAAGGAAATAAACAGGACTAGATTCATGATAAATGTAGTGGTTAAAATATTTTTTTTGAACAAACCTCCGGCTTTTCGCTACATATGACGAAGGATTATGCAATACAAAGAGGTTGGAAGCGCACTGCCTTAGGTAGTTTTCTGTTTGTGGTAGAGCTGTCTGCTAGCCGAAACTATAGACAACAATTGACGTCAATGTTTAAGTCCCGAATCAGGGTTATGAGAAAAAACTAACAAAGCTTAACCTTAAGGAACTCACCAACCAATAATAGCAGACTTAAAGTGTAGCAAATGTTATTCGCATATATATGGCTTAACTTTCTAAGAAACGGCTACAAAGAGATGACAGAATAACCTTCATCAGGAAAACAATCAATCAGAAGAGGTTGCTTCTCTGCTAATAATAACGAATAATAATGTTCATAAAAATCTATAAACACCTGTTGATTTTCTCAATAAACGATCTGTTGCCTGGCCCTTGTCTTCTGTTGTTAAATGTTTACTATGTAAATGACTGTGACAAGTGATGATGAGATATTCAATTATGTCGCTGTTGACTGAACTAGAATCCTCCTTGCAGCCATACTTTCAAATTACTGGTAACTATGCAAAATGCTGTATAAAAATGAGGTTGTACAGTTTTTACGGGGATGAAATCATCGAAAAGATATCTTTGTCCGAATTCTGGTGTGCATAAAAAGCGAAAGTTGGTAGAAATGTATTGTAAGTACCAGGATGCTTTGAATCTATGGTGCTTATTTATTGGCACTTATCAGTAAGACCTGTCTTTCACTTTGAGAGGCCTTCTGTTTTCCCCTCCCCTTTAGTCGAACTAGCATCACTCGTCAAAATTAACAACTTCAGTGTAAGATATTCATGTCGAAAGTTACCCAGTGTTTGGCTGTCTAAATTATTCTCACAGTGTAACCGACTTATTTGTTTATATTAAAACCTGCATGCATTAATTAGTTCTACAGGGAACAATTTGTGACCTGAAGTGCTTTGTGATAATACTGATGGCTTCTATGTAGACTTGTGATGCCTTATTGATAAGTACCGACAAGCATAAAATGTGAGTCAATGGCTTTCTACTAGCTGAATATCATAACGCAAATTCCATTATAGTATACAATAGTTCAGTATCTACGATCGAAATACGTCGACCAGCTCAGTTAGTATTTGCCAATTATGCCGGTTAATATTCAGCATTTCTGATCAATATATATATCTGATTCAACTTAAGTATCATGAAAAAAATTCCCTACTAATACAAAATTAGGGGTTTTATAAAGTAAATTATTTATAAAATATGCTTTCGATTTTTGTGTGGAACAGAATAACGACAATTTAGCATAACAGCTATAAGCATTTGTTATTTGCTGCATACAGAAGCTTGTGCTTTATTTATGTTATTTAACACTGGAGTCTGTCTGTCAGCTTTCGATATAGAACTTTACACCGATGTGTGGCAGTCCAAGTCGCCACATTCCATGTAGCACACAAAGCAGGAGAAGTAGAAGAAATGCATAATATAGACAGTAAACAGAGGTGAGAGACAAAGGAATAGTAGTAACGAAGAGCAATATAGTTTCATTAAAAATCATAAGTCACAAGGAGTGGATGCATCTGCGCCAGCCATCGAGAACGATTCTGAGCCATGTCACCAATTGTTTCCAATCATTGGTTCTTACCGTCCCGAGGACCCCAACCAGTCAGGAAGTCTACACCTTCCTACGTGGCTTAGACTAACTGTTGTAGATTTCATTGACTGGTGCCATGTTTTGGTTTGACCGCCGCTAGCTCTTTTCCAGCCTGGCCCTATATCAGCTAACATTGCCCGTCGAGGAAGGCGATGACTAGGCATGCATAACACATGTCCTAACCATCTCAGTCGATGTAGTTTCACAGCCTCGTCTATTTATTTCCCCTCCTTACTTAGAACTCGACGCCTAACCTCAATATTGTTCACCTTATCATACCACTTAACACGGGAGATAGAATGCAGCCACCTGTGATCAAAGACAGGTAATCTTTTCATGTCTTCCACTCTCAATGGCCAGGTCTCACACCCATAAAGGAGGATGGAGCGGACTGCTGAGCAATACACACGCCCTTTGGTAGACAGCCAGCCGGTTATCACGTCTACGCCAGAGACGGCGTAAACTGGCATATGCGAAACTAGCCCTCTGTATCCGTAGTGAGATTTCGTCAGTGCTTCTGCAGGCACTTCAGGAGGCAATAGCTTTAAGACTCGTACTAGTATATCTCTTAGTCTTTGTCTGTGTAAGGAGAATATACACATATGTCTGTTACATTAACCATAATATCATTGTTTCGATCCGATAATTGTTTAAAATGTATGGATCAGTTTCATGGGATTCTGGTTGTTATTTGATAAAGAGTATGTCATTATTCTTCTCATTAGGTTTCAAGTGAAACATCGGGCTTCAATAGCACATCTCCATTTTGTCCTGTTCTCTGCAGTCCTCTTTAGTTATCTCCACGATTGTTCATTGACTCTCATCTCCTCCTCACACGACCTCCTCTATGTCACCCTCATACCCACGCCGAACTCGTCGTTTCCCATTCGGGATCGCACAAGGGCCTGTTGTGTGATGTCACTCAACGGTCTACTCAGAGTATGTCCGATTCATCTCCATTTCCTTCAGGATATTTGTTGGGGGATAGGTTTTTGATCAGTTCATTCTTAGAGTTCGTCGCCTTTAATCTTTCCTGACCCGGCATCTGATCTTCAGTAGTGAGCTAGCGCAAGCAGCTGTTGATAAACTTCTAAAACGTGTTGGGAATGCTTTTCGTGACGCACCAAGTCCCTGAACCTTATAGAATGATTAAATAACTCGACATTAGTGTCAAAAATCCAAATCTTGTTCTTTATATTGAGTGCAGTCAGATTAATGGTTTGTGTTACCTTTCCGACCCTAGTTTTGACATCCTCATTCGTGCCGCGTGTAGTTGAAACGATGCTGCCTAGATATGTGAAAGGAATGACTTTCTCCAAATTCTCCCCTTAATTGCGATTGGTGGTTGTTGTTGGTGATGGTGGTTAGGTATCTTTACCACCTCTATCTTCTCTGTGTACATTTAGAATCCTGTCTTCAGTGCCTGCCTCTTCTTCCAATTTCTTAGTGTTTGCCTGTATATCTCCAGGTTTCTGTGACACTAAACATAAGTCATCCGCGAATTCTACATCTCCTAGAGTCTTCTTGTCATCCCAGCGTATTCCTATCTTCTCTTTTCCTACGGTCTGTTGCACAATCCAGTCCATCTCATTCAGGAATATCATCTTATTGCTGTCTTCATTTCAAAGTCATCGCCAAGTTTTCCGTTGTTAATCACTTGACATGTGATATCGTCCTATGGTTTTGGAATGACTTAAACAACATGCTTTCATAGGGAAAGAAAGTAGGCATTATTGACCATTTAATATATTTATTTAATTTTATATCAGAAGAATTTCTTAGGATAAGCAATAGATTGATGGTAGAATAGACTGAAGGAAAAGAATGTTACTTGACATTACAACTGGGTTCCAACAACAGATAAAATATGACGAGGTCACTTGTTGGGTGGTACCTAGCAGCAGAATTCAAGATGCATTTTTCGTCCTATTCCGGGACTGTTGATTGAATGTACTTGTCCCCTAGTTGAAGACAGTGTCCCCGTTGAGAATCAAACCCAGTATCCATCAATCCTGACTAATTTCTTCTTGGGGTGTCAGAAACCAAAGGAGCATTATTGTCACGTAACCATATAGCCCAGGGGAAAGCTGCTTGAGGCTTGTCCTGCATGACCTATTTGAAGAAGTGGTTTTTGGTGTCTCATCTGTATTAATATCTTACTACTGGCTATGGATCACCGCAAGGTAAGTAGGGATGTACAATTTTCAGGGTCAACCTTTTATAGCTTCCCCTCTCCTGACAGAAACGCATTACTGCTGTTACATCCCTTTTCGACAGCAGTACGATTTCACCAACAAACCCACCCACCCCCAACATAGTGTAAAACAACTTACAGTATGATGGTAACGGCTTTTAGTCTAACCACTATCCATCAAGTCGACGTTTCTGGTATGGTGAAACCTTCAGCCATCGTATCGCTTTGAGTCATTGTAATATGCAAGCCCGACCACTATCTCAAGGTTAGCAGCCATCGTTTGGGAACTTGGGGAAGCCATCACTTCAAACGCTGATCAACTTCGCTCAGATATGCCAACGGGATTGTGTATGTAAACTTGTTAACACCTTGTTAACCTTTGAAATCACCTAAACACATTTATTACACTTCCTAAGTCTTTTGACTAACTAAAAGAGTTTTCTCAATCTGTTTACACTTTGTATATTATTATCCTCTTCTCATACACTTCTAGCTTATAATATAAGGTGTAAAGATAAGATTGTTTTTCAACAATACAAAAAACAAATTTATGTCACGTTGATTGTAAACGTTTTACAACTAAATGAGATATGAATTATTTTGTAAAAATCGATAATTCATAATATTTAGTGTGTGTGTGTGTATGTGTGTGTGTGTGTGAGATTAAAACTCGCTCCTAATAATTTTATATAATGTAACAAATCATGCTTAAAAATGTACCTGCAAAGTGTACGCAAATGTACAAGTTCTGAGTAAAGGCTTTTCACGCAATGAATGTATCCTGTCTTAAAGGAATTAAAAGAAGGCCTTTTCTCTAAAAGCATAAATTTTTTAAAAAAAAACACTAAACCTGTTTATTACATTAATCACACATGAAGACAGTTGTCAGTCTGTTTGTAGACGTATTTCCTTACCCCTAACTGCTTAGTGGCAGTACTTACAGAACCCTTCGAAGTGAGGACAGGAGTAAGACAAGGCTGCCTACTATCTTCAATGATTTTCTTGATTGCAGTAGACTGGATAATGCGACAAACAGCGGGCAATGAGGAAACAGTCATAAAATGAACTCACACGAAAAACTTCGAGGATCTGGACTTCACCGATGATATATGTCTGATTTCCCACAAACTGGAAGATATGCAAGCGAAAAGCAACAAGTTAGCAGAAGAATCATCAAAGATAGGACTTCAGGTGAACATAGATAAAACAGAGGTGATGAAAATTCCTGGGCAACACCACCAACAACAACAGACAACAATCAACATAAATGGGAGGAACCTGAAAGAAACAACCTCTTTTACTTACCTGGGAAGCATCGTTTCAACTACAGGCGGACGGAAATGATGAGGATATCAAAGCAAGAATCGGAAAAGCAAGACGAGCTTTCACTACTCTCAAGTCTGTGTGGAGGACAACAACACTCAGCATCAAAAATAAGATCCGGATTTTCAACTCCAATGTGAAGTCAGTCAGTGCTACTATACGGATCAGAGACCTGGCCAGCGCGTCATGAAGAGCATCTCAAACAAACTACAAACCTTCATCAACAGTTGTCTTCGCTCAATACTCAAGATCAGATGGCCAGAAAAGACCAGCAACAGGGATCTCTGGCCATGAGCGAACCAACACAGCAGGAACCGATTGTGCAACAAATAAGTGGGAAGAAATGGAGATGCATTGGCCATACTCTGAGGAAACCATCAAGTGACATCACTAGACAAGCCATTGCTTGAGTGGAACCCGAAAGGGAAGCGGCGAGTTGGTCGTCAGTGCAAGGGTGACTTGGAGGAGGTCATGTGAAGAGGAGATGCAAGCGTTTGGGCAGACATGGAGCCAGGTGAAGACTCTAGCAGAGAACCGAACGCAACGGAGACGCACGGCTGAAGCCCTATGTTCCTGTAGGAATTAAAGGATACAATAATAATAATAACTGCTTAGTACGATTACTCTTCACAATACAGTGTAACTTAATCTCAAATACGATGCTAGGTTTTATGCTAGATCATACCTTCTTTTTTCTCCTTATTAGTGATAAATGCATAACTTTTGGTTTGAATGTATTTCAGATTGCATCACGAACTGAAATCAGGGAGTATTTAAAAGCTGCTTCATTTTAGTTTATGGTGGTTCAGTAGTAAACACCAGAGTGTAGGACCTTCAAGTAATGAAGTGATCCTGTTGTGACAATTCAGTCACTGAGGTGGAATCCAATATGCTTTGATATCTAACTTCTGATTAATGTTGACGATAACACCACCTCCAAACAATGTTATCCGTGAGGGGTCTGTCCAAAAATCCCACTAGTCACGAGTTCTCATTTAGTCAACCAGGAACTCCATTCCTCCGTAGTCAATCACTAATGAAGTGTGGGTTTTCAGGGATTTGACTAGACTAGTTGCCTGGCGATGGCATTGCATATCGCGAATAGTGAGAAGTTACAGTTGATGAGCCATTGGATTCTGTCAATAATCAAACAGAATCACTTCATTCCATTATGGGTAAATTTTGTTTTGATAAAGTCTCACAGTGTTATACAGTAATATTTACTGATGACGTTTCAAGCACAATTTATTGCCACTCGTAATCATATCAAGGTAATCACACGACTTCCTAAATTCATTTATATAGTTCCATTGTTTCTCACTTGATTTGATTGGTAGTAATATTTTCCATATTTCAGGTATGAGTGATGAATCATTCCTATTGCATGTGTTGGGTGTAGATAAGAATGGTTGACCCCGAGAAGATAAGTAATCTAGAAAAAAGCTCGGCAATTGCAATGCATGCATTAACACACAACCACACAATAGGGTGGGAGAGGGTTAAAATTCTAAAAAGTAATCTAGGTAGGTGGAGAGAGAGGTTGATTACTGAATCTTTGTTCATCCAATCTACACCCAACACATGCAATAGGAATGATTCATCACTAATACCCGAAATATGGAAAATAATACTACCAATCAAATCAAGTGAAGAACAATGGAACTATATAAATGAATTTAGGAAGTCGTGTGATTACCTTGATATGATTACGAGTGGCAATAAATTGTGCTTGAAACGTCATCAGTAAATATTACTGTATAACACTGTGAGACTTTATCAAAACAAAATTTACCCATAATGGAATTACACTCTACTACAGTGCGCAAGTCTTATTCTTAAATCAAGGATCACTTCATAACCTGGAGGTGATGGGGTCATCAGTGTGTACTACTGAAGTGTCTCAAACTAGAACGAAACAGCTTTCCAGTATACTACCTGTGTGGATTTCAGTGGTTCTCTAATTGGTATCAGTTTGTGATCTATTGTGGCTGCGTACTATGTCATCTTAATTTCGAATTTTGGTTAAGCATACTTCTTTATCACTCAGGGTTTTCTATGAATCGATTGTCTTATTGAACCATTGTCTTTATGATTACAGAGAGTATACCTGAAAATACAAGCAGATTAGTGTGCTAACTGTGTTGTTCATATACATAAAGCTGAAATCAATGTGTATGGGGGGGGGGGTTGTTCAAGGCCACTTTTTTAAATAGACACGCCACATCCACATACTATTCGCATACCATACCATCCATCACCATAAGTTTTATATTTTTTGTTTGTCTTTTTTGTGATGAATAGAGATATGAGTGAAAAAATAATAATAATAAAATAAAATATTGTCTATTCTTTGTGTCGAAAACAAATTCATAATAGATATTTCGGCAGAAAATGGGTTAAAATCTATAAGCATAATTTATTTTATAATCCGGAAATTTCACCGTAATCGCTTCAAAACATTTTTATGAATATAGTTATTTAATTTAGATTCTTGAATAGGAAGACAGATTTATATGGCTAAATACAATTTTTAAGGCATTTATCAAGAATTTAACAGTTGTATGTTCACAGATTTCTCATGTTTGTCATATTTACATTCAATTATCGGTTTCCAGGGATTTGATTGGCTACAGGAGGTAATTATGAGCTGACGTCTGTTAGAGAACCATTAACTTGGAGTACTGAACAGTCGTTTCGTCCTCGTTTAGATCTCTTCGTCGACACTCACCTACTGGCTAGGGTTCGAACCCATGACCTTCCGGTTACAAGGCTAGCTTATAGATTTGCCGCAAAATTGGACACATTACGTTAAACTACATACTCTTGATTGATTGAGATGAATAGTTGTATATCTCTGACAACCGTCCGGTATTTAGATCACATCGATCTGACTGGCTACCAAGCACTACTGGTTGCATGTGAGTAATATACAACCACTCATCTCACTCAGTCATTAAGTAAACAGTTGTACGTATTTATGCTTGCTTGCTTTCTTGACTATCATTTATGGTAACAAGCAGGTGGCATATTTTGATGTGAATAATTTTGGGTTCTCCGTAGGAAACTCAGGTGAAATTTCAACTCCTCGAAGTGTATAAATGCAAATGACTAATTAATTTGCGAATTGCGAATCTGATATTTTATTAGAGATTTGAGTGATAATAAAGCATACTCTTAAATACACCAGTTTGAATGAACTAGTCCTGCTAGTCTTTGGTAGTAAATATTGCTTGATAGCTTTGTAAGTGTTGATTGTACACTTAAGATAGACCTCAACTAAGCGCACTTACTAAAGACTTCTCCTCTTAATACCCTTATCAGTACTCTACCTAGCGTGTAAATACCGATTAACGAAATCAAAGTAAAATGACTTGAGACTACTGGGTGGTGTGTCCTAATGAGATTTATATTGTACACAGATTAAATATCAATTTTAATCAATAAGAATGTTGTGCAACTTATCTGTTGCCTGGCTCTAAGAGTGCGCTTAATGGTAGGTAGCACAACAAGGGAGTGAACCACATGCGAACAGTGACGCCGGAAATACAAAGATAGCGTGGCGCCAAAGTGTATGAATGTGTTAAAACAAAAGCTCAAACATTCAAGGTGAACTACAGCTTCATATCTACGCAACAGGCTACAAAGTTAAGCATGTGAAATTACATTCTCATGATTTTATGCTACTAAATGCGTTGAATGTTGCATCAGAAATTCATCGTTTTTATGTGTTTCTTAGTGACATTCATTCACACTAGTGTATTAAGAAGAGAGGGTAGGGGGAATATGCTTTATCATCGCAGTGTGTTTCTCACCTCTAAGCTACTGTTAATTCGAGTAATACTGCCTTCCTTATTTGTTTATCCTGCACCGTCTGTCAACGTATTTAGTTAGTCATGACAAAGTGACTACCAAAAATATAGCTATACTACGTAGGCATCTAAACGAAAGGAATCCTGTTGTGACCGTGGTAATTCTGGATTTAGGTTCGCTCTAGCGTTACTTTAACACACAATAATATACAACTGATCACACGACTATTACACTGACTAAGAAGACAAGCATTTATTGCTCCAGTAGAACAGGAATTAGAATAAAAACTACACCTGATTACGTATTTACTTCATATTGACCAATAAATTACTAATTCAAGAAAATATGAAAACTACGTTCTGAGTGGTTTACATGTACCAATAAAAATCCAGTGACGGAATCTGTTAACTAGGTTGAAATTGGATGTCTAGTTTACAAATCGTGTCTGTGAAACACTTATTTATGTGGCTTCTCTTGTCCTAACTAGTCACATTAGGCGTACGATCTTGGTGTGACAGAGGTCGGAATAGAGCTATACATGTAACGACAGAAGCCAAGGGCCAGGCAATAGATCGTTTAGTGAGGAAATCAAGAGATATTTATATATTTTTATGCACATTATTATGCGTTATTATTAGCGGAGAAACACCGTCTTCTGATTGGTTATTTTCTCACTGAAACTTATTCTGTCATTTTTTTGTGGCCATTTTATGAAGGTCAGACCATATGTCTGCGAATCGTATCCGCCCACGCGAAATCTGCTGTGGTTGACTGTTGAGTTAGTCTTTGTTCTTTTCTCAAGACCAAGATTTGGGACGTAAATTGCTATCTACTAATTTGGCTAGCAGACAGCTCTCACCAAATACATAGATCAGTACTAGGTTATCTCGTCGATATCCCGGACATCAAGTTGACTCTAACAAAGGCTTTTAATGTTATTTATTGTTTCACCCAACTTTTCGCATGGTCTACGAGTAAGACTTTCACACACAGCGAAGGCAATCGGAATGCAACTGAGCAATTCAAATCTGTGTGTTCAAAAGAAATTTGTACAGCCCCTTAGTACATAATATGTACTAAGTTTACTTTGTTATTTTACTATGACTAAAATCTTGGTAAATCCTGCGAATTAACTGATCTAGAATTCCCCAATTATTTTCACCGCTCCGTCAAAAAATAGATAGGTTACAGGATTTCATCATGAGCTGACATCAGTTAGAGAACCATTGGAAAACCACTTAGGAGTACTGGACAGCTGTTTCATCCTAGTTTTGGACTCTTCATCTGTACACACAAATCACTAGGGTTCGAACCCACAACCTTCTGGTTACAAGGCGACCTCGAAGACCATTAAGCCACTGGCTCTTGAATTCTAACTTCTGCCAATTCACGATATAGCGCAACCACTAGCCAATGTCTTCAGCGAGTATTTGTCCTCACACCCGACTTGCTGTACCCTACTGGTCACACTAGTCAGTAACTAGTGTGCAATCAAAAATATCCAATGCAGTTCTACGGGAGGTCGATCGCGAGCCAGAATAGCTCAGTGGTAACGTCTCAGACTGTAACACTGGGTGACGTGGATTCGAATTTCAGAAGGGACATGAGTTCCTTCGAGGTTGAAGATACGCCTTGCTGACTGGTGAGTGCCAACTAGCACGAAACCTAGCTCCAAGGCTTCCTGTGGCCGATTGCCTCCATCCATCTAATACCAAAAATTCCATTCCGTATGAAAAATTGCATTGCTTGGAATAAAGTGACTGTTATTATTGTTTCCTCTTTTTATGCTTTCATTTAAACAATATTAAAAAGCTAAATTATTTCAATTCTCACTGCAACAACTTTGATATTCACTAAACGAATATACGTACATATATGCATTCATTGTTTTTTACTTTCCCTCCCTCCCCCTTTCATTTCTCCTCAGGAATTAATCACATAAAGGGCGGAAATCAAAAATCAAGTTTACGGAAACACCCATTATTATCATCATCACAATCAGCATCACCATCCTCCAATTCGAATCATAAAACCTCAATCCTCGTAACTACTAAAGATCCATTGATGTCAAGTGAACAGCATAATTCTGACTACGTATTATTATGAATAAAAACCAGTGTAAATATATCTATCTATATGTATATGTATACATAGTGTATGACATTTTGCTGGCATTAATGTTGTCACTTTTGTGTTAACCCACTTCATACAACATCCCGTTGACTCTGTGCATTTATCATATATATATATATATATATATATATATATATATATATCTTAGCATTTTACAACAGATTGTTTGCTATCATAATATTCTATGAAACATTATAATTGATGCTTATACAAGTAGATATGCGCATTCAAATCAACAATCTTCATTGTCTTTTATTTTCATTTTGGTTTTGTTTTTTTCAATAATATTTTTTTCGTCTTTGTCAATTGATGATGATGATATCAAATGCTGCCTATATATTTTTAATTTTCCCAAGTTGATTGATCATGTCAACAGTTTTAATGGGATTATTTTTCAGATTTTTATGAATAAAAAATATACACTTCTCATACTACTACTACTATATATTTCTCGCATTCTACATAAGTTAATTCATAGTCATTATTGTTATTTCCTTTCATTCCCAGAGGAACATAGGGCTTCAGCCACGCACGTCTCCATTGCGTTCGGTTCTCTGTTAGAGTCTTCACCTGGCTCCAAGTCTACCCACACGTTTTCACCTCCTCGTCAGATAACCTCCTCCAAGTCACTCTCGCACTGACGATCAACTCGCCGCTTCCCTTTCGGGTTCCACTCGAGCAATGGCTTGTCTAGTGATGTCACTTGATGGTTTGCGTTCTCAGAGTATGGCTGGCCAATCCACCTACATTTCTTCCTGCTTATTTGTTGCACAATCTGTTCCCTCTGGGTTGGTTCGCTCATTGCCAGAGATCTCTGTTGCTGATCTTTTCTGGCCTGCTCTCTGATCTTGAGTAGTATTGAGCGAAGACAGCTAGCTGTTGATGAAGGTCTGTAGTTTGTTTGAGATGCTCTTTATGACGCGCAGTGCAAGTCTCTGATCCGTTTGTTGAGTAGCACTGACTTCACATTGGAGTTGAAAGTTCATAGTTAGTTATTAATTCTTATTTGTCAACTGAAGGGTTTTCACTGCTGAGCAAATTGTTGACAAACAGTCAAGCTACTACTTCACAAAATAGTATGAGGAAGAATGAATGAATGCATTGCAAACTGTACAAGATTTGGCATATTTCACATTGCATCTCCTATTGGCAGATGGTTGGAGGTAATTGATAAGAAGCCTTACTTTCATCTGATTGTCTCCAACCGTCTATCTAATAACAATTCACAGCGTAGTGTGATGGCAAACCAGCCGCCTAGCATGCATGGTTGGTGGCCACATTGCAAAGTTGACTGATAGAATTCAGTCTACAGCCCCAAAGGGAGCATGACTACCTAGTGTCCCAATAAATGTCAATAATTGTGAAAAAAAGCAGAGCAATGAATATAAAGTGAAAAGACACAAAAATAAATTTCTCAAGATGATTATAAAGTTAGGTTAAGTCTACAACACTGAAATATGTTACTTTTCACCTACAGACACTGTATATATATTCGTCAAGTCTAACCACAGCCTAAACGAGAAGCCCTTTTTCTTCCTTTACAGTTTAGGTAAGGTTGGAAAGACTATGGTTTCGTGTCATCTTTACAACTTCATAGCTACCGTGGAACCGAAAAATCCTTTAGACAACATATACTGACACTAATGAAAGACCATGTACTTAGCATGAACTTGTTCCTACCAGATGATACACGGTTGATCTACCTACACCAACTACTAGTTGAGGGTTATAGAGCGAAGTGCCTAAATATATCGAAAACTTCAACTAGAAAAGTACATCAGCGTTGTTAAAATCTTTCTTATCAAGGACAAAAATCTTCACTTGGTGCTTACAAATTAACGTCACCTTTGTCATAGGTTTGTTATCCAGTTGTCTGTCAAAAAGGTACACAGTGCGGTAGTTCATTCTACAACACATGACGACTGCGAGATATACCTTCTGTAAACAACTACAAAGAAATCAAACGAATTTGACTACAGGTACGTGAGGCGAAATTATAATAACAGGATTAGGTATAATGTTACCTAAGGAGGAAAAGTTAATCAATGAAGTTTTGAAACTTCACCGATTGATATTCAAGTACTGGTTTGTAGGTATTTGATTGACTGGTTACAGGACTTCATCATAAGCTGACATCGGTTAAAGAACCACTGGGAAAATTGGGAGTACTGGACAGCTTAGTGTTCCGTCTTAGTTTTGGACTCTTTATAGTACGCACTCACCACCAGCGTTTGAACCCAGGACCTTCTAGTTGCAAGGCGGGCCGCCCCTATCCAAACAAGTAGTTACCTGGGGTTCTAGTGGAAAGTTGTAACATGTAAGGTAGAGCAGGTCGGGTTTTAGAACAAATACTCGCCGAAGATATTGGCTAGCGGTTGCGCTATGTCGTGAATTGCCAGAAGTTAGGATTCATGGGCCCCTGAATCGGGTCCCAGTGGCTTAACGTTCTATGAGCTCGCTAGCCTTGCAACCAGACGGTCCTGACTTCGAACCCTGGCAGTGGGTGCGTGCTTCTGAAGAGTTCCAAGCTAGGACGAAACAGCTGTCCAGTACTCCCAGTGATTCTCTAACTGATGTCAACTCATGACGAAATCGTGTTCATCGATTGAGTTAGCTAAGATATGTGCTGCGCGTATAGAACCATAGCCATCCCGAATTAGTAATATAAATTGAAGCAGGATTAGATTGTTAAACAGTTAGATGTGAACGGGGCAAAACATGTCATCACACCATCCTTTATAAGTGTTTATTTCCCAATGAATGATAAACAGGAAGATGTTTAGATACTTAATACTAATAACTGTATCAAAGTAACAGTAAACTAGTTTTATTAAGTCTCAGTTCATATATGGTAATGCAATCATAGTCCTTCTCTACATAAGAAAATTCTGTGTCGTAAAGTGAAAAAAATTCATAAAGACAACAAATATGTGCAAACTGTCTAAATAAAACCGTGAAAACAACATGTGTTCATACGGTGAAAAGTGCTCATCACATTTGGTTCAACTAAATCAGTTCATGGGGAGGGTTTGTTGTCTCCAGGTAAAATTCTACCTTAATTTGTAATTCCTATTTAAATAATTTCGATTTGATAGATCTATCTAACATGCTTCTGGTATGAGATGTTCTTCGTTGTCTCCGAAGGCTTTCAATATTATCAAAGTTAATCTTGTGATCTGGCTTTGTGGCGTGTAGGATTTTTCACCATTTAGTAGTTCCATTGAGATACTTGCCGGTCGAATAAAACTGAGCAGAGTACGTGAAGACTTCTCGATTTTTCCGCAAACAACGTCTTTCTTCTACTGTATTACAGCCCTAAGCTCAGTGGCCATATAATTCAAACTCTTAGTATGGAGTAAATGCTGAAGATGTCACCAATCCTGATAATAAAACGTCCATAGTCAGATACCAAATCAAACAATCCCCCTCACCCATCATCAACCTGAGCTACAAATCTTACCTATTATTATAAAGTACAATTACAATTTTGAACGTCAAAGTCCTGGACAGTGTAGTACACAAACCCTCTCAAAGTTGCTGATCGTCACCTCATTATACAAACGTACACAGTACACAAATTTATAAAAATTGTATTTGTAAAATCTCATTGAAATTGAAATGAGTAATTCCACAGTTTCGTTCGGCAAACTGGTCCGAACTTCTTCTAGGAAATTAATCGAAATTAACATAACAGAGGTTTGATAATATTAGATGGTTAGAGGCAATCAGCAGGAAGCCTTGAACCAGGGTTTCGTGCTAGTTGGTACGCACCACTCAGCAAGGCGTATCTGCAACCGTGAAGGAACTCATGTCCCTTCTGAGATTCGAACCTGCGTCACCCAGTGCTACAGTCAGAGACGTCACCACTGAGCTATTCGGGCTCGCGATTGACCTCCCTGAGGACTCTAGTGGATAGTATGATTGGACACTAGTAACTAGTGTGACGTGTCTAGTCCTTTCTTTGGTACAGACTAAATTCTATCAGTCAGGTTTGCAAGAGCTTTAAAACAAGAGATGTCCTTTTTATATATAAACCTCTGTTATGTTAATTTCGATTAATTCCCCTGAAGAAGTTCGGACCAGTTTGCCGAACGAAACGCTGGAATTACTCATTTCAATTTCGCTGAGACTCTACAAATATAATTTTTACAAATTTCTACTTCTCAATCAACGCCCAATTATTTTAGAACTATTCGGTCATATCTTGATCACAGTTCATATGAAGTACACAAATTTGTCAACAAAATGTTTCATGAAAAGTTTGATTGTAATTTGGCAATCAGAAACTTTCACATTATATACTTATTACTACTGTTCTATTTCTACGAAACATTAAACTAAACTCCACGCTTGAAATTTGCACTTCCTTTGTACTACACTACAATCAAATTTCTCAGACAAAGAACTACAAACATTTAATGATGACAGCTTTTTTGAAACATGAAAAAGTGAATCAATAAAATAGAACAAACGATAAACTTTTGAAAATTTGACAAAAAAAGTGAAGGAAAATAAATATGAACTAAATAAAAACATGAATTAGAGTCATGTGTGTGTATATGCAAGAAAGGTGTTGATGACGTCAACAGGCGTGAGTGAGTGTGTGTTTGGGTGTGGGTGCGTTACCACTTTCTTTTTCACTACTTTCCATAAAAATAGATCCAATGAAAGAAAAAAAATATGTAAAAAACAGTTTGTCTTGTAATTCTGGATACCTATCTTTGTTTAACTGTGAAAGAGTCAACGGTAATCACTTGGAAACGGAATAAGAGATCACAGCATTTTCAATATATAGATCACAGCCTGAACATCTGTTACCAATAGGGTAAATGGGGTAAAAATGGGTGCAATTCTGTAACATAACAAACTGTTCAAAATAATAATAATAATACAAAAAGTTAAAGTGTACGTGTGTATGTGTATGTGGAATGTGGAATCTGAGATTTCAGCATTCGAGTGAAAACAGAGTCATGGAGTTTGCATTTTATCTAAAGGGAATATTGCATACAATCATTCAATACACATTACTATTATTATTATTATTATTATTAAGAGCAACAACCACTTTGGGGTTGTTTATCATACGATTGATTTAAATGAGCACGATTTGTAGCCGAGGAGATTGCACGTTTTTTCCCTTGACTCCATAATTCTGAATGATTGTATATTTTTGTTACAACTTCATTAAACAGTTGAGCAACACCTTCATTAGTTTTTGCACTTGTTTCAGCATAAGGCATATTGTATAGGCGAGCATAACGAAGACCTTCGTCACGCGGGATTTCTCGAGGAATCTAGAATTTAAATGAAGAGGTAGTATTTAATTTGGTATTATTTAAAATAATTTATTGTAGTTTAATCGATATAAATCTCCTCAAAAATAGAATCCATTTTGTAACGGTTTTACAATCACTCTGATTAAAACATTTGTTTCAATTTTAACCACGGATTGACACCAGTTAGAGAACCATTCAAAACCAGGAAGTATTGGACAGCTGTTTCGTCCTAGTTTGGTACTCATCGACAGACAATACACAGCCACAGATTTTCAATTTCAGGACCTTTCAGTTACAAGGCAAGCTCGTAGACCAACCCAGCCAGCCCACTGGGACTTACGTAGGATTCTCATTGAGGCTGAAAGTAGAGTGGCATTTAAGCCGACCAACTTTCTCATAGATAAACTTTGTCCGCCTACAAACCCCAATAGATCCAGTTACCAAATAATGACTGTGAGATTAATTACATAGGTCAAACTAGTAGATCAGGGTCAACTAGATTATTGGAACATAAAAAATTAGCTAGATCTAGAATATTTAACCCTGCTAAATTGAATAACCTAGAAAGAATCTCAGCCATTGCACCGCTTTCAGTCGCGTATAATCACAAACTAGGGTGGGACAGGGTGAGAGTATTAAAAAGTAACATAGATGGAGACAGAGGTCAATCATTGAAGCTTTGTTTATAGATTCAACACCACACACGTGCAATCGGAATGACGTAACGCCTATACTGGAGATATGGAAAGTGGCAACAAATGATAAAGGGGAGTTGGATAGACAGAGAAATTGTGAAACCATGTGACTAAAATTGATATGAATATGAGCAATAATTTATGAGATCGTGGAAAATATCCATAAGAATATTAGAATGAAGAGAACACAAAGTTCAGCAAACATATCTTTTCGGCGATTTCATTTTCAAAAGCTATACAAACGCATTTAAACACAGAAATTTACATAGATACAATTATTATTTAATTCTACATAATTACGAAGGTGAATAAAAGGTGACAATTATTTCCAACTTGATATGGATTCCAAGAGGCATAGAAACAAAAAATTGCCCAGGATTAGAACGAGTAAGCACCGGTTCAATCAGAAGTGGCATAATTGAACATCTGATCAACACCTTCCACAGCATCTCAACTGATTCATTTAAGGTCATTTACAAGGTAAACAGAAACCTACCAATTGGTGTCGGTCCTCATCGTTTTTCCCTATCTGACATTTGTGTGTCTATCTCAGTGTGGCGATTATTTACAAATGACCCCTTGGTTATGGTGTCGTATCTGTAGGTGCATTTTAGTCAAGTGAGACAACACCACAGATCACTAACACTCCCTAATAACATTTAGACAACCAAGTTTACATAGCTACGCTACGATTCAATCGCTATTTACAAGTTGATGCACTACTAAACCGTCATTTTCACTCAATTTAAGTAGGTTAGTGGTACTGCATGCTTAACTTTAGGCTTTCCACCCTATGAGAATGCTACAGGACTGGACTACATTGACTCCTAGCTTAGAAACAGGGAGTGGAGTGGTAGAGCGTGTTGACTACTTCACTTATTTGGGAAGTTGCATCAGCCCCAACGGGTTGATCTCTGACGAAATCTCAACACAGATACAGAGGGCTAGTTTCGCATATGCCAGTTTACGCCGTCTCTGGCTTAGTAGACCTTATATCCGGCTATCGACCAAAGGACGTGTGTACTGCACGGCAGTCCGCTCCGTCCTCCTTTATATCTGTGAGACCTGGCCATTGAGAGTGGAAGACATGAAAAGGCTAGCTGTCTTTGAACACAGGTGCCTGCGTTCTATCACCCATGCGAAATTGTATAAAAGGGTGAAAAATACTGAGGTTAGGCATCGAGAGCTAGGTAAAGAGGGAAGATCAATAAACGAGGCTGTGAATTTACATCGACTGAAATGGTTAGGATATGTGTTGTTACGTATGCCTAGCCATCACCTTCCTCGACGGGCAATGTTAGCTGACATAGGATGGATCAGGCTGGAAAAGATCTGGCGGTGGTTAAACCAAAGCATGGCTTCATCAGTCAATGAAATTCACAACAGTTAGTTTAAGCCACCTAAGAAGGTATAGACTTCCTGGTTGGGGTCGACGGGACGGTAAACACCAATGGCTGGAGACCATTGGTAATATGGCTCAAAATCGTTCTCAATGGCTGGTGCAGATGCATCCACTCCTTGTGACTTATAATATCCTATAAGACTATATGGTTCTTCCATATTGCTATTCTTTTCGCTTTATATCTCTGTTCATTATCTCTATTTTGAATTTCGTTGTACTATCTTCTCTTGCTTTGTGTGTTAAGTGAAGTGTGGCAGCTCGAACTGGTGCACATCTGTGCAGAGTTCTACGTTGAAACCAGTCAATCAGTCAGCCTCCCTATCGACAAACACGAATCGGTAGTCTGCTTATTTTCTTTCTTTTTCACGGAATAAAAGCCCTATTTTCAAGCAAACATTTTTCATTCCGATATTTTTACGGCACAACTATTAACAAGTGTCAATAAATTCAACAATTATATATATGTATATACGCATACATGACAAACAGAAAAGAATTGATGTATGTCATATTGATTAGTGTTAAAATTCAAATAAATCACATGACTATCCATGTTTAGCATATTATTGAACAACTTACGCTATCGATTTTATTTCCAACAAGGAGTTTTATCATATTTGGGTTGTCTGCATAAGTTTTCAACTCTTCCATCCAACTGCCAAGATGTTCAAAACTCTCACGATTCGATACATCGTATACTGAAATATATATAAAAAATAAAATATAAGGAATGGATGTGAAGAACCCAATAACTGGCAAAACAAATCAATATCAAAATACCGTTTTAACTACTTGAACATTCGACAGCTGTACAACTATACATTGTTTGTTTTACAAGTTAGTATGGTTACAATTATGCGACTTGAAGGACAAACTGACACACATGACCACTTGCTCCAGTGGAGCAAGTGGGTGCGTACTGCTGAATCAGAGTCTCAAACTGGGTTGACGAAACAACTGTCCAGTTCCCCGAATTTTTATGCGTCGGTGGCACAGCGGTTAGGACCATGCACATGGTCCGGGGTTCAATCTCCGGCCGACGCAATCCCTTACCTTGCCAAGCCAGTAATAAAAGCTGACAAAGAGGAAAGGTTGGGTATGAGGCTAGCAACCCCATCCTGTAAAAATAAACACTGCTATAGAAACTTCAAGCCTCTAGCTTGAAGCCCTATGTTCCACTGGGAACGTGAAGGAATAAAAAAACTAGGCGACATCTTCAGCACATACTTCAATTTGAAGTGAGCTTTTAGATTTCTCCACGAGTTTATAAGTCATCTCTCAAACCAACCAATCACGTTCAGGGTCACCACCAGGAGAGGTGACTTATAAACACGTGGAGAAATCTAAAAGCTCAATCCAAGTTGAAGTATGCGCTGAAGATGTTGCCTAGTAGAGTAGAGCAATGAAAGCCTCGCAAATAAACCATCCAGCTCGGAGATCACAACTACATCAGAATATAGGTCATTCTATGCTCATCTTGTCGAAACGAGTTACAGAATACTAAATCAGCATGGCTTCAGAGAGGAAGCAATGGTTCAATCAGAATCGCACCTCGTTACCACCTGTCATTACTGCATCTCAACTGTATCATCACTCAGTCATTTAGAAAGTAATAAGAAACCTACTGAGGACAGTATGCTTCCCCGTCTTCTTCGCTCTGCTCAAATCCTCGCTACACTTACGGAGAAGCTGTAGTTTCTTGTTTAGAGGAACGTCGTTCAACCCTTGCAACTACACCTTGAACCTGATTTTCTTTGCTTCTTTATAATTTTGTGGTTTAGTATTCCCCTTCATTTCTTTTCCAGATCTAATTGCAAAAATATCCCTTTAACCCGTTTATATGAATGTCATGATTACACGTCTTCGAAAAAAAAATTATTTTATGCATTACACTACCATATTTCTCCTCGTCTGTAACTGAATAACATTAATCCTTCTCCACTTAATCTCACCTTCATCACTATGTTTAATCAGACAATAGTTGTAATTATGCTAACTTTTAGAACGATATATATATATATAATTATTGTATCCTTTAATTCCTACAGGAACATAGGGCTTCAGCCGTGCGTCTCCATTGCGTTCGGTTCTCTGCTAGAGTCTTCACTTGGCTCCAAGTCTGCCCACACGTTTTCATCTCCTCTTCACATGACCTCCTCCAAGTCACCCTTGCACTGACGACCAACTCGACGCTTCCCTTTCGGGTTCCACTCGAGCAATGGCTTGTCTAGTGATGTCACTTGATGGTTTGCGTTCTCAGAGTATGGCTGGCCAATCCACCTACATTTCTTCCTGCTTATTTGTTGCACAATCTGTTCCCTCTGGGTTGGTTCGCTCATTGCCAGAGATCTCTGTTGCTGATCTTTTCTGGCCTGCTCTCTGATCTTGAGTAGTATTGAGCGAAGACAGCTAGCTGTTGATGAAGGTCTGTAGTTTGTTTGAGATGCTCTTTATGACGCGCCAAGTCTCTGATCCGTATAGTAGCACTGAGTTCACATTGGAGTTGAAAATCCGGATCTTATTTTTGATGCTGAGTGCTGTTGACCTCCACATAGACTTGAGAGTAATATATATATATATATATATATATATATATCAATAGGGATCACAGAAACGATATCTCTGCTGAACGCCTGTTTCTTATATAATGTCCTGATGGGTATTATTTTTCTGTAGGGTTTTGTTTTGGTATAACTATTCCATCAGGGTTTGAGGAGCACAGTTACTGCCGGAGTATGTGAGCATTGCTGAAGAGTCCCAAACTAGGAAGAAACAACTGTCCAGTGCTCTCTTATTTTCAGTGATTCTATAATTCATGTTGGTTCGTAACGAAATCTACACTGAAATTGCTGCCAATCCCGTTTATTGGAGGGGCTACTGGATGAAGTTTTAGTGGGGAGATGTGGCCAATGGGATCCACCATGTCAAGGTCGCTTATTGATGTCATTGGTTGGCGATAGCGCCATATCACGAATTGAAAGAGGTTAGAATCCACAGACCACTGAATTCCGCTTCATCAAATGGCTGAATGGTCACAGCAAGTTTGGCCTCGTAACTTGAAAGTCTTGGATTCGACACCTGATGGAGTGGCGAGCGCACCCTAGGAGAAAACAGCTGTCCAGTACTCCCTGGTTTTCAATAATTTCTAAGTGATGTTGCTTTATCATGACAAAATCTAAATTGAAATTAATCCAGAACCGTACAAAAACCCACGATCTAGAGAATCCAATAAGTCGATAATGAGTTCAGCATTACAAAAACTACTTGGTCAGTTTAGTATGCTGCCGCCATGTAGGAAGTTGTGCAGAATTATCTGTCTGCATGTGACAGATACATTACAGTTTGATAAGAAAGAATATTTGCGGTGATCATTGGATGAAAGCATTTATTCGTTCAGATAACAAAATAAACACATATGTGTTAATGAAACAGGGTCAACCAGTTTAACTTAATTTAATTTAACTACCGAAACATTTATTTTTAAAAAATCTACGTTTAGCATTTGAAGCAATTATTTTCACTAATTCTAAACACCTACTTACTCGTCACACACGTGTATATACCACCTTAGGATATAGTATCTGTTTGAATGACATTTATAAGAGTTAAAATAATAATTTTTGATTGACTAACAAATTAACATTATCTCTAAATTTACTGACTCAATGGATTCATAGGGCATACAGATGATAGTCTGACGTGTATAAATACATAATATAAAGATTAACTAAGTTAAGTAGTTAGTAAATTCACCATATATATACCTTGGTGGTAATCTTCCTAAATTTTGTTTTCTCGTTGTTACAATTTCGCTAAATAAAACACTCTCAGTCACAGTTAAGCATGTAGGTGAAATAAGTATAAGACTTGGGAACTGTGGTAGAGTATAACTCCATAATGGTTAAAAGTTTATTTTGATGAATCACACAGTGTTGTACAGTTATATTAACTGATGACGTTTCGAGAACAAACTATTACTGCTCATAATCATATCAAGTTACTCACACAACTTCTTTCCTTCATTTATATACATGTATGGAATCAATTAGACATTTGAATGAAAATCAATATGAGATAATGTACATTCAGAAATAATAGTACGAGTGTTATTAATCCATTACAATTAAATGGGAAATACGACGAGTGTTTTTATAGTCATAATAAGTTAATTGTTAGAATTGTAGGTTGAAGGACCCGTTGGACCCAATTAAACAAAATAATATAATTTACAAAATACCCTGCAATGACTGTGAAGTCAACTACATAGGTCAAACTAGTAGAACAGGGATAGTCAGAGTATCAGAACATAAGAATTTAGCTAAGGGAAAACTGATTGACCCTGAAAAGATAAGTAATTTAGAAAAAAGCTCGGCTATTGCACTTCACGCATTAACAAACAACCACACAATAGGGTGGGATAGGGTTAAAATTCTAAAAAGTAATATAGATAGGTGGAGATAGACAGAGAGTTTGATTACTGAATCCTTGTTCATCTAGTCTACACCCAACACATGCAACAGAAATGACTCAATGCAAGTACCAGAAATATGGAAGATATTATTACCAACAGTCAAATCAAAGGAGGATAATAAATAATCTTAAAATTCTATTTCCATTCAAACACATCACAACATTCTAACATGTTACTTATTATGACTATAAAAACACTCGTCGTATTTCCCATTTAATTGTAATGGATTAATAACACTCGTACTATTATTTCTGAATGTACATTATCTCATATTGAATTTTATTCCAATATCTAATCGATTCCACACATGTATATAAATGAAGGAAAGAAGTTGTGTGAGTAACTTGATATGATTATGAGCAGTAATAGTTTGTTCTCGAAACGTCATCAGTTAATATAACTGTACAACACTGTGATTCATCAAAATAAAATCTTATCCATCATGTAGGTGAAAGTTAGATTGTCCTTTTTAAGCGCGTATATGTCATTGACACATAAATATACCAGCATAAAACCTTGTATAAGAGTGTATGAGTTCACGTATTGAGTGAAAAGCATACGGAATCCATGCAAAGATGAAATAAACGTAAATAAGTATATTGAATAATTCAATCTACCATGTGTATCACAACACTGTGAGGTAGAAGATGATTGACGTCCGTTGTGTCGGAGGGAAGTGAAGTTATCAAGCTCTTTAGACCTAGGTGGATATTAGAGAGAGAGAGAGAGAGAGTTAAGGCTTGATTACCTAATCACTAATACAGTCATAAATCTATAAGCTACTCTTAATTCGTTGAGGTACTGATAGATACTGTGGCTGGACAACCGATAAGTAACTCTTGGTTGTAATTAGTAGGGAATTTGATAGGACAGACTAAATATCTTTGTTATGGTGGTTATGATTGATACATGCGCTGACACATAATCTGATTGGACAATTTTTGATTGGTTGATTGATTTTGTATCTTCAAGGTTATGCGCGACCAATCAGATATTGATTATCGATTTATGGTTTAAATTTCTGTGGATGTATAAACAATATATATATATATATACCCTGTATTATGAATAATAAAGGTTGCCGTTATCGTAATTATTGCAGTTAAATCTGACACTTCTGTGTCTATCTCAGTATGGTGGGGAATATTTTCAAGTGATCATTTGGCTGTAGTGTTGTGTTAGAGGCTCATTCTACTCAATAAAAATGGTGACACTCCATTATTACTATATGAAATGCTTACAGCAATTAACACTGGTCATCCAAAGTGTAGTGAAACTGTAGTGTAATATCATTTTGCAGTAGATACATGAAATTGTGAAGTAAACAAGAAAGGATCTAAATGGATTAAAACAACCTGTTCTTGGATGTATGTACATTCTGAAGAAGAAGAAGTACACATATCCAACCGTAGAGGATAAAATTTTGCTATTAAAGTTTACTAGATTCAAAACAAAATTTTTAAAAATATAAGACCACTAAAAGAGAATAGTCAGTGGAGTTTTCGTGAGTATACCACGTTAACTGAACTGGAAGATTCAAAAGTCACCCGTTGAATGCACAGTTTATAGTGATTTGACGTGCATAAATGCTGCTTGTGTGACGTCATTAGAGATTTGGTTGGAAATTTTACTTCGTAAAATGGCATATGGTTGTCTGTAGCCGCTAATTACAGAAATTGAATTTAAGAAATATACGACGATGTCTGTTTGTTTGTTTAAGCTCAATTACCCAGAACAGATTCCTATGTATCACGCTGACAATCATGCTTATTGTATAAGGGCTGACGTTACTACTAAGTTCCTCATGCTGAAGTAGATGGAGCGGGACTCGAATCTGTTTACCCATCAGTTAAAATCTCAGTGCTTAAATCGATGAGCCACATTACGACGATGTGATGAGATTTCACAGATGATTTATGTTTAATGTCACACAAACTCGAAGACTTGAAGGCAAAAACCAACAAACTGGCTGGAGAAGCAGCCAGCGAAGACAGGACTTTAGGTGAACATAGAGAAAAAGGTGATGAAGATAACCAACCAACAGTAACTTCGACAAGAACCAGCACCAATCACCATCAAAGGGAGGGATTTGAAAGAGGTCACTTCCTTCACTTATCCAGCTAGGAAGCACGGTTTCAACCACGTCAGCGGAACGGATGGAGGTATCAAAGCCAGCCAGAATCAGAAAGGCAAGACACGTCTTCATCAACCTGAAACCAGTTTGGAAATCTTCTGCACTCAGCCAGTGTAAACAACAAGATTCGGATTTTCACCACAAATGTGAAGTCAGATAGTTTTTCTATACGGGTCAGAAACTTGACCAGCGTATCACAGAAAGCATTTCCAGCAAGTTACAGACTTTTATCAACGGCTGTCCACCTTTGCTGGCTTGGTATTGACGAGCAAATGGCCAGCCAGGCGGTCACAAAGAATTACCAACAAGAAACTCTGGCTCGAAACAAACCAACCAACAGCCGATTGGTCAACAAATATGTAGGAGAAAATGGAGGTAGATCGAGCATATGCCACTGAGGAGACCGTCGAATGAAATCGCGTTCAATGTAGGCCATCACTCGAGTGGAATCCCAATGGGAAGTGACGAGTGGGTGGTCAGTGCGAGGGTGACATGGAGGAGATCGTGTGGTGAGGAGGAGATGAGAGATTATGGGCAATTGTGGACCCATCTAAAGAGGATAGCAGAGAATATGACAAAGTGGAGGTGTGTTGTTGTGAAGCCCTATGTTCTAATCGGAACTCAAGGGAGTAATATTAATAGCAATAATAATAATGATAAGATACCAAGCTCACTGATCAGCATATTTCGCAATCAATAATAGAATAACTTCACTTTTATAAGGACCTAGTAGAGTTTTCACTAATAACTAACAATGCCAATTGATCTATATGCGGGTTACAGTTAAATGTATTGAAATGAAGAGCAGTACTCATTTTTGAATAGTTAATACTCATACATAAAAGAATGACAATGAAGATATAAAGCTGATACAGCTGAATAAAAAAAAGGGGTGGGGTAAATAAGGAATTGATAAAAGTTTAGAAATGATCAATGTTTATATTATATATTACATTAACTTGAAAGGCTGATACATTCAATTTGACTGAAGTTAAGAAGATTAAGTGTTTTTTTTACTACAAACACCACTACCACCAACGACAACAACAAAAATCCTTAGAAATTCAAGTGACAAAGAGGTGTATTTGACAATATTTTTGACCTCATTATTGAATGAACAGGTAATACAAATCAATTTACAGTATACAATGAGTAGTGAGCTGATATTTAAGAAGATACTTGGTTACCTAGTCGTTTACTCAGTCACTCAGTTTGAAAGTGTTGAAATCTCTTTCTCATAAATATTGTTTGTTTTTTGTGAGACGACTAAGCACTGAATGCTTTAAAAGGGTGATATAAAATACCTAGAGAACTTCATGGAAGTTCTGTCTGCCTGTCTGTCTGTTTTCGACATAGAACTTTGCACCAATGTGCGGCAGTTCAAGTCGCCACACTCCATGTAGCACACAAAGCAAGAGAACAAAGTAAAGTGAAATGCATAATAGAGACAGTAAAGAGAGATATGAGGCAAAAAGAATAGTAATATCGAAGAACAATGTAGTTTTATTGGAAATTATAAGTCACAAGGAGTGGATGCATCTGCACCAGCCATTGAGAACGATTTTGAGCCATATCACCAATGGTCTCCAGCCTTCATTGTTTTTTACGGTCCTGAGGACCCCAACCAGGAAGTCTACACCTTCTAACGTGACTGGCTTAAACTAACTGTTGTGGATTTCACTGACTGGTGCCATGTTTTAGTTTGACCACCGTTAGCTCTTTTCCAACCTGACCCTATATCAGCTAACATTGCCCATTGGTCGAGGAAGGCGATGACTAGGCATACGTAACACATGTCCTAACCATCTCAGTCGATGTAATTTCACAGTCTCGTCAATTGATTTCCCCGCCTTACCTAGCACTCGAGGCCTAACCTCAATATTGCTCACCTTATTATAACACTTTACAGGGGAGATAGAACGCAGACACCTATGATCGAAGACAGCTAATCTTTTCATGTCTTCTGCTATCAATGGTCAGGTTTCACAGCCATAAAGGAGGACGGAGCGGACTGCTAAGCATTACACCCGCCCTTCGATCGATAGCCGGATGTCACGTCTACGCCATAGACGGCGTAAACTGGCATATGCGAAACTAGCCCTACATGGAAGTTCCTTACTGATTACTCTCCACAATATTGCGAAAGTGGTCAGTTTGGAAATGGTAACTGGGAGGACAGCAAATTGCTGCAATGCAATCGTAAAATCGACTGACTTTCGTTACTTTTAATTTGTTTGGACACACGCCTAGTACTCAAGGGTTAAGAAACGTGCCCACCCAACGCCAAGAAAAATTAACGACAATGAGAGGAAGGAAGAGATGGGCTAAAAATGATAAGAGCGTTCTCATTACGTACTCTAGAGAGTTTAATTACCTTTCAGTATTTCTGGTAAAAGAGAAACAAAGTAAGTGCATCAGGGTCCTCACTGATTTAAAAGTTATACTGGATAACTTTGGAACCAATGGGACGCATAGCCTCTCAGGTTCAACTGACGGACTAGCGGAAGACAAGTACATGACAACTCAACACAATAGTCCTTTACCTCAAGGGACCAGGGTCACACGATGATAACTCCCCTGACTCTTCTAAACAGTCCCACGACTATTGACCACTCATTGGCATCCAGGCCACCGGAAACACATTCCTAATACATATATGACATCACTTGTAGAAAGACAATCTCTACCCTATTCGATAGTAAGCTATCATTGACAATTGCTTCATGTTGTTTCATTTCCTAGAGATTTTTCAATTACCCATGGGGTACTAAGCTATAGAATGAAAATGTCGGTACAAACCAGCATTCTCTCAGGCCCTGTACATTGCAAGTATGTCTTAAAAATATTTCTGATTGATATCACCCTCCTTGATCCCGGTGGTTTGAATCAACAATAGCAACGTGCAATCACTGTCAGGACAGCTGCTGCTTTCACTCTACTTGCGTGCTGTGGGTAATAGGTCACAAGCAGTGTCATTTTACGCATAAATCCATACACACACTGTTGTACTCGCTTTTCACACGCATCACTTCAACAGTTAAGGGACTACTAATTGTGCTGTTAAGTTAACAGAGTTATCGGAATACTGCCATATTAATTCAAGTTACTAGATAATTGCAAAGGTATAGTGTATAGCGTTTAGTAAATAAAATGTACCATGCAAGGTCTAAAACTCACCAAAAACAGCAGCATGTGAACCACGATAAACATTAGGCGTTAGAGTACGAAATCGTTCTTGACCAGCTGTATCCTGTATATGTATAAGAAAAGAATTTTGGTGTTTATTCTTATATCTACATACACGATAATGATAATTAGTATTTCTAACATCATACATAAATTAGGTGGTAAATTTCTCTTCTTCCATCTTTTTAAGAAATATGATGATATCTTGTAAAATAAAAGATATGCAGCATTATATAAATGTAACCATTATAATTATGGATACTATGAATGCAGAAAAAAGGTAATTAATTGGCTACTGACCTTAGTTTTCTAAGCATTATTCTCAGTTACCTCATAAACTGGCTATATTATACTGTTTTTATGTACTTTAGAAGAAGATTACATTACTACAAGTCAGAACTAACTCTTGTAAATTATTGCGATGTTCACTAGTGACTGGCTACAGGATGAATTTGCCTAGAATTATATGGAGAAGCCGTGAACAGTGGAGTTCACCTGGTAGGGAATGAGGACAAATACTAGCTGATGCAATTGGCTGTCGGTCGCGTTAAATTCACAAATTGGTAGAAGTTAGAATTTATGGGCTGGCCATTTGAGTCGGGTCCCAGTGACTGGCTGGTTGGCTGGTCTTCGAGCTCTCCTCGCAACCAGAAGATCCTCGGTTCGAATCCCAGTGGGTGACTACTGCCGATGAGCCCCAAACTAGGACGAAACAGCTGTCCAATACTCCCTGGCTTTCAATAGTTCTCCAACTGATATCAATCCGTGATCAAACTTGAAACGAATCAAATCCCTACAGAAAAAATGTTGGAAAATACACTGTAATTATTTACGTACGCATTAACACCAGCTACTGCTTTGTATTGACGTTAGAATAGTAATCCACTGTAGCAACAAGATGTAAGCAGATGTATACAACTACAGGAGGAACAGACGAGGATGTCAAATCGAGCGAGAATCGGGAAGGCGAGAAACACATTCATCGACCTGAAACCAATCTGGAAATCTTCGTCACTCAGCCTGCATCAACAACAAAATTCGGATTTTCAATACAAACGTCAAGTCAGTCAGTTCTTCTATATGGATCAGAAACTTGGCGGGTCACAAAGAATATTTCCAACAGCCTGTTGCAGACCTTTATCAACAACTAACTGTCTTTGCTCTATACTGAAGATCAGATGGCCGGAAAGAACAAGAACCAACAAGAAACTATGGGAAGAAACAAAACAAGAACCAATCGCCCAACAAATATGCAGGAGAAAGTGGAGATGGATTGGACACTCGCTGAGGAGGCCACTGGGTGACATCGCGCGTCAGGCCAGTGATCGAGTGGAACCCGAAAGGGAAGCGGCGAGTTGGACACCCAAGGGTGACATGGAGGAGATCGTGTGAAGAAGAGTTGAAACAGTATGGACTAACATGGAAACAGGTGAAAAGTACAGCAGAAGACAGAAGCATGTGGAGACGTGCAGTTGAAGCCTTATGTTCCACTAGGAACCCAAGGGAACAATAATAACAATAGATGTATACAGAACAAGCATTTCTTAGTATTATCGACCCGATCATGAATAGAAACTAAACGGAAAACATTATCAAAACTACAAGTAGTAATTCCATAGTGTGTAAGTTTATTCGATACAACACATGATGATACAGTATTAACAACTGGATGACGACGGTTTTGGGGACAATTTATTGATCACAATCATATCGATTTGATATATATACGACTATGGGCAATACCTTATGCTCAAAACATCATTCAGTTATTAATACTGCATCACAATTTTTATTACGTCAAATAAACTTCTATATTATGGAATTATATTTGACAACAGTGCCAACATTCAGTTCCTACAAGCAGGAATTATTACTCCCAATGCATAAATCTATTCGTTATGCTGAGTGTTAGTTTTTCCAATCTTTGAAATGTATCACAACAATAAGCAACAAGTCAGCAGGACACCAAAGTAACTGATAATGTTCAGTTACAAAAGTAACAAGTTCAGGTCATCATGTAAGAAACACCCCCCCCCATGTTATCTGTAAGTCGTTCTAACTAAGTGGCACATAATAACACTCAATACATTGACAAGTCAACGAAAATAGATAGTTATTTAGACAGAAGGCGTCAGAGACAGAAAGAAGTAAGCAACATGTACTACACATCTCAAGGTAGATTGAAACGTTAATACCTTCATTATCATTTAGATTTATTTTAGTACAAAATCTGTGATCTGTCATAACTAATTTCTTGAAACCATAAGACCAAATACTATACAGACACATGAACTAAGTAGAAATTAAGACCACCAAGCTGTCATAGGGGATTTATCAACAGAGAGAAACAACATGAAATGATAATAGCAATATTGAAAAAAAATCATACAAAAGAGACAAAAGAAAATAAGGGGAATTAAGACGTGCATTATGCATTCAATGAATGCATCTGAATTATTCCAACTGACTGAGTCAAGTCACTAAGTCTTCAACTGTCTACAATCGTTGCCTTGAGTAATCTAATACGGAGTCATACTTCTCAGTATCGCTCTGACAAAGTTATGGGCTCATGGGATGGTAGTATATCTTGCTTTAACCGCTCTTTGTTATTTTTCCAGCCTAATCCTGAGTATTCCGACTGAGTAGACGTTGAGCAGGCATGTAATAAAAAGGACTGAAGCACTAGAGTCAATTGCAACTCAGAGGGTGGTCCCAATCTCAGTAGTAGAACTTGGTCACCCGAGACAGATTTTAAGTGCCAGGCTACAGAGAACTGGTGATACTACCCAGTAGTACTTGGATCTGAACCCTAGAACCACCGGCTAAAAACCAAGTGCTTAAGCCAGGGGGACATTTCCACGGCGGTTCCAATATATGTTACAGTAGAGAAAGTGACAGTGGACCATTGTTTGAAAAATCCCTTGTACCACCATACATATATGGTACGAAACAGAGTACTGCCAGATGTACTATGAATTTAATACCTCCAATGGAAATCTGCAGCGCTCTCTATGTGCACTTATTTGAACATAAACTTTGTATACATGCACCATCCAAAAGATGGACATTGCAAATAGAAAACAAATGGTATTTAGTGTACAAAAGGAATAGTACGATTCAGTAAGAGCATAGTTTTCACCATCGCCAGGCATCTCCTTGACACGGGTCATGAGGTGGACGTCGAAAAGTTGTTCAAAATTATCAATAGACAAAAGAGCTCAATTCTCCTCAAGTTTGCTGAAGCCATTTCCATCAAGCGCCTGAAACCTGATTTATGCGTCCAGAAAGAAGCGGTTATCAGTCTTTCTTTGCCCTGGATATTTTCATCTCTCTTTTATCTGAATGCGTAATGCTGAAAAGTTTCCATTGTGTATGATTATTATTGTTGTTCGGAATAGTGTTTAATATTATATATATATATATATATATATATATATATATATATATAATTACTGTATGCATATATTGATCGATTGATTGATTTTTGTTTAAAATGAACTCTGTGCAAGTATGTTAAAATTGTTTTGTAGATATATTTAATAAATTCTTTGCCCTGTAAGCAGCTGGCGAGAAGACAACGAAATAAAAGATGGCACCAATTTATTCTGCTAAAACTTTAGTTCTTGCTTTGTTCAAATTCATTAAGGGGAATAAATGTATGAAATTTTAAAACTGGTGACTGCTTAGAATTAAGTGCAAAATCTTACGTTAGAGACAAATTTTAATTTTTTAAAAATATCAACTCACCCAAATAGAGAGTTTTACTTTAGTTCCATCAGGGACAGTAACAAGTTTAACTTTGAAATCAACACCTAGAAACGTATATAAATTATTGAAATACAGCTTACCAATAGTTGCCGACAACTGGCTTTCAAAGCAATCATTAGTGTAGCGCATTAACAAGCTATATATTATTAAATAATCACAGTATAGCGGTGAAACTCACCTGGATTTTCCAACTCCACTATCTCCAATAAGTAACAACTTGAAATTTGCAATAACATCATTGTTGTTCCTATGCATGATGACATGACACGCAAGTTCAGTTGTCTACGTATGAATACTTTCTGTAAAACTTTATCTACAATGCCCTGAAGATGAAAGTAAACGCGCACAGTCACTATATAGACTTCTGACGATTTACAAACGAAAAAAAATATGCAAGTGAATCGTTTTATTTACATTCACTGAGATATTCTCAGAATAAAATCAGGTATGTCAGACTTACTATCAAATCATACTGTCTTTACTTTATTTGGAAGACATCCATTAGTCACTGACAGTCTCTGGAATGTATCTGAAGTATCTTTATCGCATCAACTAAATGACTAACTTATTAATTCTGTTATTTAGTTAATTTACTTAATTTAGGCTAAAGTAGCAACAGGTAAACCATGCGACATTTTATGACATTTATAACTAATTGGTGAAAAAGGAGAACAAGCTAAGTAGAAGGAATGAAAACCAATCCTACAGAATTTGTTCGAAGCACTCGTCATTCTTTGGTTTAACCTTGCACAAGTAAAACTGCGATTAAGTCACAATTTAATCACTTTGCTTAATAATGTCTAATGATTATTCTCATCACATCCAAACACCCCGTTGATCACATGGATCCTAATCAGACAACCTACTCCCCAATACCAATGGCACCAACAGCCAGTTGCTTTTGCGAGTTGGTGTCATGTTCCGAACTAACTACTTTCCTTTCTGACCTGATTCTATTTCCGCTCACACAGAAACCTAAGGAAGATAATGAATAGGTATGCGTAAGGTATAATCCGGCCAACTCAGGCAATGAATGTTCGATTGACTTGACCACTTAGGACTAAGCCAATATTCTAAACTGTTCAACAAAAAATTTCCCCAACGCCACGAAGGAAATGGCAATTAAATACCTGAAGACTTCTGCCACCTGTCATAATCAAACAAAGTCACAAGGTGAACGAATCTAATGCACAATGTAATTACTTCTTAGCTAAGTAAATCAAACCAAAGCAGACTACACAGTAAATGAAAGTCCAGAAAGGGGAGCATTAAAAATAAATACCCAATTGCCCGGCTATAATCTTCGCTTAGATTTAGCATATTTATGCAATCTTAATATTTAGAGGAAACACCACAAATGTATCGTTCAGATAGTGTCAACCAAAGAACAAGACGATGTGACCAATTCAAATACTTAGAATGTATTCCGGTCAATACATCTAGACTTTGTAAAGCATGCTGAGTTTCTAAGAAGATCACAAAAACCCTTCTTCACGTAATTCTTTGCAAACCTAATTCACCTTACCTGATATTTTTTGGCAACGTGGGCTAATTCTCAATCAGATTTATTTCCATTTGGTAAATCACCACGTTAAACTACACCTGTCTATACCTCCCATTACGATAATTTATTCCTCAGGCTCTACAGTTATTAATCTATGAATATTATAATACAAATAGCCATTAAAGGCATGTGAAAATTATATCAGACACTGTATTGGGGTACATGTATAAATTGGAGTGATAATTCCGTGTTTAATATTGTCAAATGAACGTATATAAAATGTGCAGTCACTCAGAACATAAGATAAAGTGTGAGTGGACAAAAGGGTGACAAACTAATGTTCTTATAGTCAATAGGATGTAATCTTCATGGGAGTGAGTTGTATTCAATGGTTTGCGAGGAAAATGATTACCACAAAACATATACAAAAAAATATCATCAATAGCATATTGTCGCTGTGACATATTTCTTTCAAAAGTGGCGATGTAAGATTGTAGAGATTCAATCTAATTAAGAGCGAAACGTTTGAGAGATTTCGTATTACGGCAGTGATTTAGAAAATGAGTTAGAATAGTGGTGATTTGTAGATGCATGAACTTTCCATACATGTAAAGGAATTATTTGTGGATTATCCACATGAAGTCTGGAAAACCAGAGAAACCAGAAGACGAATCCAACTAACTAAAGTAGTAGACACACAAATGCCTGAATCCCATTTTCCCAATGATCCGGAAAGGTACGTTTTCAACTTTTCGAGTGTTGCTTTAGATAAGACTGCTATGGAGTTTTTGTCACTAGGTTCAAAATTTTGTGATAAAAGGGTTAATATTGATCATTTAGAGACAGAGGTGCAGTTTTAAAATCTTTATATTCAAACACAGGATTTAACACCATCCTCCAGTTGTGAGCTGGAGAGATTTAAGAGTACTATTGTTGACTGTTAATATATGTCTAAAACTTGGGCACTGTGGTAGCAAGTAATTCCATATTAGTTTATTTATTAGATGTATCATACAGTGGAACAGTATTATTTACTGGATGAAGAGGTTTAGAACACAATTTATTGTTCATAATCATATCAATTATAATCACACGACTTCGAAACTTGAGTTTTATAGTTTTCTTTGTCCTCTCCTATTTGGTGTAGAGGTAGTAGACAGAAAGTGAGGCATATAAGAGAAGCCTTAAAACTTAATAATTACCCTGATAAATTAGTCAGGAAATATGTAGGGAAATGTAAAAATAAAATAAAATAAATATTGATAGTAGTGATAGTGATGGTAATAATAATAGTACTATTAATGACGACATGCATGTCAAATATGCGCAAGACAACACCAACAATAAGGAATCTAAATCATCAGTAGTAATTCCATACAAAGAAGAAACCTCGGAAACCTTACGCAGAATTCTTAACAAGGCAGGAATAAAAGTGGCATTCAAACCCACAAACTCAATTAGAAACAAGCTTTTCTGGTTAACAGATCCTATGGAGCTAATTAAACAAAAATTAGTTTATCTAATACCTTGCAATGATTGTCAGGTCAAACTAGTAGAACAGGGGCTGTCAGACTAGCCGAGCATAAAAACGTAGCAAAATCTAGATTGGTTGACCCACATAACATAAGAAATCTAGAGAACAGTTCAGCTATAGCAATACATGCAATTACACACAACCATACAATAGGATGGAATAGGATGACAGTTTTAAAATCTAATGTAGCAGGGTGGAGGGAGAGACTGATAACGGAAGCTTTGTTAATCGAATCAACTGCAAATACGTGTAGTAGGAATGATTGAACACCCGTCCCAGATATCTGGAAAATTCTACTACCTCTACGACAAATAGGAGAGGACAAAGAAAACTATAAAACTCAAGTTTCGAAGTCGTGTGATTATAATTGATATGATTATGAACAATAAATTGTGTTCTAAACCTCTTCATCCAGTAAATAATAGTGTTTCACTGTGTGATATATCTAATAAACAAACTAATATGGAATTGTTGACTGTTGCTGCCAGTACAATAATGCCAAGGTCAAAATGAAAAGCATGGGGAATGCATCAAACAGCTTAAGTCGGACGCCAGCATTATAATCACTAGACCTGACAAGGGTTCGGGTACAGTCATCTTAAATAAACTTGACTATATCGGAAAGATGAACGCTTTACTGGAAGATCATCCCAAGTTCCAAAAGTTGGGTGGTAGTAGTAAAGATTCGAATGAAGCTACTGAACGCCAGTTTATTAAGACTTTAAAGTGTTTTAAAGATGAAGATCTAATTGATAGTTCTATGATCAATGCTACCAAACCCTCCGGAAATCATACACCTAGGCTTTATGGTTCCCGAAGAGCCATTTCATTTAACAGCTAAATGGCTAGTAAATTTGCTTGAGCTGCTATATCAGGAGTTGGTTAAATATAGTGTAAAAGATTTCTTTGCTTTTGTTGACAACACTAAAGATATGCACATAGAGGACAAAACCATGTTATCGTTGGATGTAACTTCACTATTTACCAATGTTCCCTTGATTGAAACAGTGGATTATATATGCGAATAAGTTGTAGAGAGGCAAATAGATATCGGGATCAAACCTATGAAATTGAAGGAATTGTTGCTAAAGTGTATTATGAATGTTCATTTTGTATTTAACAAGGAGTTTTACCGTCAAATAGATGGAGTTACTATGGGTTCCCCTCTAGGTCCTTTATTAGCTGACATTTTCCTAGCTAAACTAGAAAATGGTTCTCTAAGAGAGGTGTTAAACAGATTTGAATATTATTGCCGTTATGTAGACGATACATTCATCGTTTGTGACAACAATTTGGATAAACAACATTTGGTGCAGGTCATTAATAATGTGCACCCGGCAATTAAATTAACTAGCGAATAAGAATATCAAGGAAGTATTTCTTTCGGGGATGTTCTCCTTACCAAAAGGCTAGACGGCATGTTAAAGCGAAATATCTACAGAAAAGCGACATGGAACGGACGATATATCCATTTCCATAGTTTCATACCCGTACAATATAAAGGGAACTTGATTCATTGTCTTAGTTATAGAATTAGGTGCAAACGTATTGAAAAGGAAATTGGAAATCTTAAAAATACCCTGCTACAAAATGGTTATCCCACTAATTTTGTGAAGAAGTATGTTTCCAAAAGAACTGACAAAATCAAGTGTGACACGGTGATTAAGAACAAGTTTTTATTTAAGCGTACAGCTCAAAAGTGATCTATGCAGTGACATATCAGATCAATTGAAAGAACTTCCAGGCAAGAGTAAACAATAGACACCAAAGTCAAATGACCTTGATTTGACCAATCAGATAGCTCAGCATTAGAAATGGTTGCTAGTCATAATCCTCGTTGAAAATATCTCCTAGATTTGGTTTCTGACTTCTCTGTGGAAAATGTGTTGACAGGGGGGAATAAAACATGCATATGTGGAGGGATAATAGCTCTGCAAAAGTATTGATGGTTATACACTGAGATGCAGTCTCTTCATATGAGGAAGTCTGTATAAGTTGGTAAGTCTTACATAGGTGGTGACTCTTTTAGACACTTTCTTCTCGAAATCAAAGCTCTCCCTGAGTAATATATTGCGTATATGCAACCAGTATCTGCTACAGCTGGAGAAATAGAGAATACATGGGTTTGATATGTCTATAACAACTTTATGAGAATCTGGGACCAGTTCACGCAGCATATCAGAGATATGTGTAGATTCATTTTTATTACATATATAT